ATTAATATTCTAAAACTTTCAACTTTATTTCAATTGCTTAATTTAGGCTCACTTAAATGGCATCATAACACTCTATATCATTGGCTTCATCTTATCAGCACACTCAATTTGATTATCAGTTTGCTAAAACAAAACTTTGAATAATACTGATACTTTTTAGGTTATTAAACTCAATTAGATAAGAAAAAAGTTAGTGAATTCTCTATAAATTTGACCTATTTAGCCCTAATTTATTTTAAATTAAATTCTAATTTATTTGTGTTTAGACAAAATTATGAAAAAACTTGCAATAATGACATGCTTTCAAAAATAAATCTAATCCAATTGAATTGTCCATATTTGTTAATTATGAATGATTTATATCATGAGCGCAATAACAAATTGATGACAATAACAACCAGTTTATTTTAAAATAATTTAGGCTTAATTTAGGATGACTTTCTTACTATTTTTAAAGCAATTTTTTAGTATAAAATTTTAAATTCTCTCTAATGTCCATTTGGAATAAGTTTTTCTATATTTTATTATTATTCTTTTACTTTAAAGAAGAAAAATACATTTTATAATTAAATTTATATGATGTAATGCAAAATGAGCATACACGTTAAAATATTGGAGTAATTTTATTGGCAGATAAAATTAGATATACTCGCCTTAGAAGATTTGGTCGTATAAAGCAACAGTTGTTCGATGATTTTGTTAGGAGAGTAGATGTATTAGATCCAACAAATGTTTAAAAAGATAAAAGTAGATCAAAAAAGGTTTTGTTAAAAAGTATAAAAATAATTTTTTTATTAAATTTAAATAAAAGTTTAACTCTTAATAGAATAAAATGAAGAAGAAAAAAATTGATATAACCGACCTCACAATAGTAGGATAAAATATTGTTGTTGTTGTTTATATAACATAATGATTATACAAAAAAATTATCATATAAATAGTTGTGGCCAACCCAAATGAATTTTTAGAGTTTATTTGGGCTAGCTTTATGGATGCTTTGCTTTTCAGATATCAACCACAATTTCATTTGGCTACTAATATTTATGCTTTCTCGATTTTTTTAAAAAAAATTTCTATGATAGAAAGCTATTTTTTGCAATCATAATGGCTAAGTTATTTTCTCCACAATAACTTCACACATAATATCATCTTCCTAAATAGATCCTAGTATTGGAGAAATTATTTTGTGTGGAGTCCGGACGGGAAGTATCATCCGAACTGTAAGTGTACATACTGTGTACACTGATTTGATACACACTGTATATAAATATGCACATAATATGTACATTCACATGTCCAAACTCCACACAAAATAATTTCTCCTAATCTCGACTTTATTCACTAATAAGCATGTCTAAAATAAATAAATAAATAAAAATAAATAAATAAATAAACATGTCTGCTGACAATTAATGGGCCAATTGAGTTGATAAAAAAAATTACAAGATTGAACATTAAAATTTACAAATAATAATAATAATAATAATAATATTGTTATATACGTCACATATTTTATCAGACAGTGGATTGAAAAAACCGCCTCTGTAAAAAAAAGTTATAATAACTTCCAATGGAAGTCGAGAAGCTTCTAATTTGCTCAACGCTCACTGAAATTTCCTGTAATATCCCAAAGAAAATTCTAAGAATAAATTAGTAGTACATGTTAGATGAAGCGAAGCATATTATATCAAGATAAGTCATTTTTAAATAGTAGTAGTAATTTATAGTGGTTTGTATCATTTAGGTCCCGTTTTGGGACAACTTTCTTACTGTTTTTAAAAACATTTTTTTAATATACTAGAAAGCTATTTTAAGAACCAGCAAAAAAACTGCCCTAAATCAAACCCTAGATAAAATTGAAATTTTTAAAAGAACTAATTTTTTTTTAGGTGATTTAGTATGGCTTATAAAAGATTAGTAAGAATATTAGTTTTTTTTTTTTTTTTTTTTTAAGGCTAGTACCAGGACGTTGAACTAATATAAGTCATATTATACATTTCATTTGTAAAGATTGAAAATTGAATAAAAGTCATAATTTTTGTCAAATATATAATCACAAAGGTGATTTGGTTGTACAATGAGTATGCATTGATTGAAAAAAAGAAAATGACACAACTCTCTTTGGCCTATTGGTTGAGAGCTTAGGCTTCAAACTAAGAGGTTTAGGGTTCGAGTCTATGTGTATGCGTTGTGTGTGTGAATTTGCCTTAAATGGCCTAAATGTCCCAAAAAAAAAATAAAAAAAAAAAATGCAGAGAACTTTTGTGTTCAAAAGCTTTCATTCAATCACACAAACCACTACCCTTGTGAGTCTAGTCCATACTTAGACCCGCTATCTTCATTCCGAAATAGTACGATTCCTCCTCTTTATGTGTCCCACTCGAGGGTTAGGGGTGTGAGTGGCACAATCTCGATGTTTATTGAGTCGTGTGCCACCCATCAGCACAAGTCTCTTTCAATACTCACAGATTTCTGACGACTCAAGTAGGGACGGCTTTTTTTTTTATTTTTGAGAGGGAATTCATATATTATGCTTGTGTATCACATATCCTTAGGTTCATTATCTCTCTTACATAATCCTATCTAGGGGTGTCAATTCGGGTCAACGAGCCGAGTTCGGATCGAACCCGGAACTGACCCGGCACTATTCAGGTCAACGCGAACCTGACCCTTTTTTTAAAAACAGGTTAGGTTTTCAGAATCGAACACGACCCGACACGAATGACTCGGGGTTGACCCGAAATTGCTAGTTTTCTGGTGAAAAATAAGGTCAATCTTCAAATTTTGAGTCAAAAAATGGGCCAATCTCGGGTTTTCGGGTCAAATACGAGTTTTCGTGTCAAATTTGAGTTGCTGGGTCAACCCGAACTCAACACGGTTTTTAAAACGAGTTGATTTGTTGAACACAAACTCGACACATTTCGGATCCGGGTTAACCCTAACCCGAATTTTTCCAGGTCAGGTTCGGATCGGGTCAAAAATTGACACCCCTAATCCCATCATTGTTCTTTATGCATCATCTGGATGTTTTGCCTAACAGGTTCCACTGTCCTTGGCAAAGCCGTTTGCATCCCACATCCAACACCAACATATTTAAAAACTTAAAAATAAAAAAAAAAATTATAAATACCAACAAACAAAAGCAAGCGATCATCATTATTGCTCATTCAGACTTGGGATCATTCTGTTCTCACTGGTCCTTATAAGCAATGTAGTCAAAGGAATCATTCAAAGTCTCCACGTCCAAGAGTCCCTCACATTAAATGGCTTATCTGAAGACGTCAAAACCTCGCCAAAGTATCCTCTCATGTTGAGTCGTCGGCCATAATCAAATATTCCCGGCCCACTTAGCAAACCATCGGCCCAAAAGGCCTTAAACTAACCTTCGTGCTACCCAACCGCCCTCCTATATGCCGGGCCAATGAATTCACATGACTTCCTTCAGGCCTTGCCACTAGCTTTGCAAGCAGCCAGCTTGTAATGGCTTTAAGACTTTGTTTACGACGGTTTTTTTACTGATTCTTAAAATAACTTTTTAGTAGAAAAATTTTATTTTTTATATTAAAAACTGCTTTAAGAAACATAAGAAAAAAAAAACGTCCCAAACGAAGCCTAAATCAACATTTGTGCAACCAGATCGCCCAAACTCACGTGTATAATAAAACCCAAAGATATGAACAATCACTCTTAGGCTTCATTTGGGACGGCTTTTTTACTGCTTTCTAAAACGGAGTTTTAGTACAAAATTTTTTATTTTTATACTAAAACTCCGTTTTAGAAAGCAATAAAAAAGCCGCCCCAAACGAAGCATTAATCAAAAGAGTTCCTCAAACATCATGCTTAAGATATAATTAAATATGTGGGCTTGCATAAATGAAAAATTAAAATCATAAAATAAAAATAATCTCAGCTTTCATTGAGTCTCGTGTCACCTGCCGACACGAATCTCATTTAGTGCCCAAAAATATGTTCTCAATCACTAATATCATCATATCAATATTATTCTCATTACATAGGATTTTTTTTTTTTTTCATTAGCAATCTTATTCTAATTACAGAGGATATATTTTATGATTTATTCTTCATTCCTTCATTTATTATAAATACAAACATAATATTTTAAGTCACTGAAGTAGTTTCCTGAACCATTTATACCTACATGGTCTAAATACAAACATAATATTTGGGTTGTGGGGTTCAACTAATTTAGCTGATAAAGATCTTAGATTTTAGTATCATGATATTCAAATCAAATCATTCTAATAGAAAAATGAAAATGATCAAAATAATCTCATTCACTCTTTATGAAAGTCTAAAATAGTCTCCAATTACATTATAAAAGAGAAACCGTGAGATTATTTTGATTCATTTTTAAAGATTTGAGAGATCAAAATGATCATTTAATATAATTGGAGACCTTTATATAGAGTCAATGGACTATTTTGAACATTTTCTCTAATATTCGCAAAAGGATAACAAAGGTTTAGGTTACGATTATTCTATACTTAAGTAATTGGTAGGATTCAACATAATCTCCTATATTACTAATTTCAAACACAGAATCATGAATATGCAAATTTATGAAAACTATAGAAGCTTAATGCTTGCAACAATGGCAGCTAAATGAAAAAAGTTGCAAAAGAAAGCATCTGAGATAGACTTAGGCTTTGTTTGGGACGGCTTTCTTTCTGCTTCTTAAAGCAGCTTCCTAGTAGAAAAATTTTAATTTTGATACTAAGAAGTTGCTTTAAGAAGCAATAAAAAAGCCATCCCAAACGAAGCCTTAGATGCCATTAAATTTATGATGAGATAGGTGCTTATATTTTATATAATGAACTTCACTAATCTTAGCACATATTCAAGGGCATTCAAATCCTAAATTTTAACCTAAATTGGTTTAGCTGATTTTTTCAGCTAAATCATACAACTTTAGTTATTTATCTTTACATTTTGTTGGATTCAAAGGATAGAAATTCTCTTTTCTGGATAATGAGCATAAATTCATTTGAAGGTGTTTGTTTTCAGGTTTTCTACTTATAAATTGTTTGCATTAAACTGCCCATGATCAATCAAATAGCAAAATTTAAATTCTAAGATATATAACAAGAGAAGCTGCACAAAGCCTCTACTTAAGATAGATCTTAACTCAATAAACACAATAAAAGAACTGCAAGCCAGCTAAAGTTTGTCAAGTTTATCAGGTAAGTTTCTGTTACCAGTAGAACTAAATTCGTCATTCTGTTTTTCGAGAGAAGCGCTTGGTTCTACTTGTTCATTTAGTTTAGATGATCGCTCAGCTGACCTTTCCCATTCATGAATGTTATTTTGGTTGATTCCTATTTCATTTTGTACCTGCAGAAGACAAGTTTCAATCAGAAAATGCAATAAAAGAGTTAGCTAAATTATATTAAATAATGAAATTATGAAGTTAACTGCTTGGTCGGCATAGGTGAGTAGAAAAGCAGAAAAAAGAATGTCCTCGTATAACCATCTACTTTTAGTAATTAGCGCATGTCTTAGGTTTCGTTTGGGACGGGTTTCTTACTGCTTCTTAAACTAGCTTTCTAGTACAAAATTTTTAATTTTTATATAAGAAGCAATAAAAAAGTCATCCCAAACGAAGCCTAAATTAAATAAAAGCATGCTAGAGTGAGCGCCGATCAAGATTTCTCTTTAATTTAGATTTTGATTAATCACATAATAGTATCGCCAGAGAAGTGGCAATGTACTTCAAGGTGGAAACCTGGTAACCTGAGTTCAGAATAATATTCGCTTACACTTTGTAGAGTCTCTAGCTTCTTTTGCAATGCTTCATGTTCAGCTCTGACACGAAATGGAACACCATCTTTCTGGAATACATTGTTTTGAGCCAGATTTTCATCTAACTCGGTAGTAGTTGTTGCAAAAGGGTGATTGGCTGGTATCCATCTGATTGTATCAGGGTCAACATCTGGGGGCACCAGATCACCTTCTTTGAGAAAAATTGTTGGTCTCTTCCATTGATAAGCTCTTGATCTTCTCTGCAGATGAGTTAACTGCTGCTCTTGTGTAAGGGTTACTGGAGCGAGCCGATAAACTTTTCCACACATTTCAATCTTTGAATTGTTTTTTTCAATCTTCACTTGTGGGTTATTAAAAGGATCTTCATACTTCAGATCAAGTTTTGAGCTGTTCAAGAAAATGAGAAACGGAAGGATGAATCTGAGGTCATAAATTAATGCCAATGAGGTAGGGTCATCCATTGTCTTATTTGACTAAATATTACTAAGAAAGTTCTAGATTATGAAAAAAAAATCAAATCTATAGGCTAAATACTAAATAGACCGATATGTAAAGAGAAGATGAGACAAACATTAGAGAAAGTAAAAAAGAAAAGGAAGGCATTAAAAAAATTATATAAGAATATCCTAATGCAATTTGCATCATAAGGGCTTAAGAGTCATTGAATTTGCATTGGATTAATGAAGTTCATGATATCGTATGAAAGCACTACTCAACACAAATTCAAAAACTCATAAGCTCATTTTAATGCAAATTGTATCAGGATATTCTTACGCAATCTTTTTCTTAAGAAACATATAAGTTCTCCATGATAGATGACATATGCCGGAAGCTCTGAATTATGGTAATGTGTTTCAATCAGATCATCTCACCTGTCAAATCTATTTCCACTAGAAGGTGGCTAGGGAGAGATCAGAAATTCTCTAAGATAGCATGTAGGCCATAGTTGATTTCAAAAGAGCGTAAAAATTTTGGGCAATGTTATGATCATCTAGTTTTAATAAAAAAGATTACTTGAAAGCAATATATGGTAGAAAATGATAAATAGTTTGAATCAAGTGAAAAAGCTTGGCGTGCAAGGTTTGCAGTATAATTTGAGTTGCATATGAAATGATTGAATCACAAATCACAGATTTGTGACATAAAATTTGCGGGTGCAAGTGTCAGTGTATTCACATTTTTAGCCAAAATTAAGGGTTGCATAAAATTGAGAAAAATTCCTTATATATCTGGATAGATAAGGGAAACCCCAACACATCTGGCCTCAAGTTTGAGGACAGTTTGACAGTCGCACACAATTTTTGCTTGAAAGTTGTGATGAAATTTTGACCGGGAAAATTCAACTTTCAAGGAACATGGCAACAACACATTCTAAAATATAAATCACGCAGGCAATCAACTAACTTAAACTTATTTGCTTTTGATGATTCATATTGAAGAAAGTGATATAGGATTACCCTTAATGAACTAATCACCCCACCAGTCTATACAGGTAATGAACTAACTTGATAACTATTAAATAAAAATCATAATGGAGCGTTATTATAAGCAATTACTATGAATATTTCTTGAAAGTATGGAACAATTTATTGGCTGCAAAATATACTAAAAGTAAAAAATTTATTGGCTGCAAAATATACTTGCTTCCATATGCCAATATCTTACATATAAAGTTTATCTACATATAATATATTCATATTAGAAAAGCCTAATCACAATCCATAAAATAAATAACTTGAAACTATAAATTAAGAAATAATTTTTTAAAAATTCGAATTCTCATATGACAAACAAATTATTTTCAATAAATTATAGATGATCTAGTTGATAACATACAAATAAATTATAAAACACGTGTATATGATCTAGTTTATAATATATAATTAAGTTCTAAAACACATATATATTCTTACCAAATTCAACATATAAACTAATTATAAATTATATACTTTTATTCATTATTATAATATTTAAATTTTAATACATTTTGGGCTTTTTTTTTAAATGATATTATTTTCAAATGACTTAGCTTTAGAACTGGCAAGAGTCTGGCCAAGCAAAATCAGGCATAATTGACCAATAAAAAGCTCTAGTCTTTAGTAGGCCAACATGGTGCTCATACAAGCCATCAAGCGTACAACTTCTCACCCTCTTGAAGGTGAGTTCCAAGAACAAAGACTCACACCAATCATTTCATGCAAAGCAAACACTTGAACTCATCTATAAGTCAGCTTCGCGGCTTCCAATCACTCGCATATAAGCAAACTAGACATAGGTACAAAATGATGAACCATGTATAATTGTTCTTTTTTTAACTAGAGGTTGAGATGTCAACAAAACATTTAATGCATATGCAAAAGTGGTTATTTAAAAAAAAAATTCTAAGCTACAAAAAGCACCATGGGTATAAAAGAGCAATGTAATAGAGTTCTAACAAAGTGATGATTTTACCTGAAAGTAAAAAAGACACATAGAAATTATATGATTAAGCTCTAATAAGGATAATCAACTCCATACTCCGATTCAGGTTCAAGTTAAGCTAAAATAGCCATTATAAATTTTATGGAAAGAATTTCAATGCTTTATTAATTACGTGCATTTTTTTTAGATCCAATATAAAGTAATGTGAAAAAAAAATAAAAATCATTAGTAGTTATGATGCATCTATTGCTCCTAAAATTTGGGGCTTCTCAAACAGTCATAGTCTGAAGTTTATCAGTACTTTGACCAGCATGAAAATAAGAGATCATATGATACAAATATGTTAAGGATTAAATAGGTATGAGTATTGTGAATGTTCAGAAGTATTCATGCTACTAAAAAAGGGAAGGTATAAAGCAATAGTTAAGTCACCTCAATTGTAATTTGAAGGTAATAAGACAGTCCCAAGTTTATGTGACACCTGCAGGTTCAACATCTAGATTGACCTGTTGTGACCCGATTGGGAAAATATGCAATAAGAGAATTTAGGGAGGAAGAAGAGGATTTTTTAGCCCCTACGGATCATTTTCAGCAGTCGGCCCAGTTCAGAAAATTGTCCTGATCGAGATAGGTCACATTATGTCTATCTCAATTTTCAAAAAATACGAAATTTTATCGAATTTTTCGATTAAATTTATATTTTCGTTATCGAAAAAATGCGCATAACTTTGCTCTGAAAAAGCTTTCAACGCATAACTTTTTATATGTTATATAAGATTATGATTATGAACATTTTAAATATTTTTTGAAAATTTTCTATCAGGTATCTTGGAATCTATGCGGTTTTAATTAATTAAAAAATAATTTGGACACCGAAAAATAAGGCAATAGTACAATGAATGTTTTAAAACAGTGTTTTACACAATCTTTTGTAATTTGGTTATGTTTTGATATAGTGAAAATTTGTTCAGTAGGAAGTTCAGTTGCCTACCGTATAGAACACTATGCAATTCTAACATTGCTAAATTTGGCTTTCACTATTCCAATGTGATGAAATATATACTCATATGATTGAAAACATCTGTTGGGAGCTATAAGGTGGCAGAATCCTTTGAGATTCTATCTATGTTAGGGATTATTCTGGTGCCTATAAGACATGTTCTTGTGGCTATAAGATAGACTCTGGTACCTACAAACATGTTTTGATGCTATAAGCACAAAAGGGAGTCGTAAAAGGCCAGAATCCTTTGAGATTCTGTCTAGGTCCGGAGAATGTGATATGAACTACTCTATGATATGAATTGTAATTTATTTATTTTCTCAATAATGTTATTTAAACAATTGAATAACTTCCATGCTCCTATTTATATTTCTCAATACAATGATTTATTAGCCTGCATTTAACTGCTTTTAAATATTCAAGAAAATTTAATAAAAGAATTTAAAATTTTAAATTGGATTGTGTTCCTGCTGAGCTGTTATAGCTCACTGTATTTTTTCTTATGGTTTCCAAAATATGGGAAAGGGAAGGAAACCATCGATTAGCAATTCATGATCATATCTGAGGTTATAAGTATTTTTCTGTTTTGATTTTTGTACAGTCATGGCTAGTTTATCATTCAGTTCTAAAGCTTCTGCATGTAACCATGTACTGTAGTGTAGATAAATTTTGATGAAATGAAAGAAATCTTGTGGATGAGTTTATTTTCAGTATTAGGATGTGGTAGTAGCTCCGTAGTATGTAGTTATTTAAAATGAACATTAGAAGAGAATCTAAATATTCTAAAACTAGATCTTGGGATTTGTCTGTCACAACTCAACATGATATGACCAGTCCTAGCCTGGATGGGTTGACAAGCTTTTGTGGTATCAGAGCAATAATTTTGGAATCGATCGTAAAACAGAGCTATATATAGGAATTGATTTGTAAGTCAAGTGGGGTAATTTTGAGTCTATCTGGGTGTTTATTATTATTTATTTCATGTGCATGTATGTTCAGTCGCATATTTTGTGTGATCTTGGATCCACCAAACTCACATATGACATATGAACAAAGTGTTAGTCTGACAACTCCTGTACATAATACTGCTTTGACAGTTAGTTCAGATACAGTTTCGTAGTTTGCTACTTTGATAGACCAAATGATGGGTGAAATAGAGCAGGGTTCTTGCTGTGAGATATGAAGAGGTAGACAAACATCTGCAGATGTTTCTGAGATTGAAGCCTCTGAGATTTGAGGGCATTGTTGAGCCTAAAGCAGCAGAGTGCTGATTGAGGAGGCTGGAGAAAACATTTAATGGTATACAGTGTCCTCATGAGAGAATGATACCATTAGCAGTCTTTATGTTTGATGGCAAGATTGAGTGCTGGTGGATGGGCCGATAAGAGGAGAAATTTATGGGGAGATTGCATTATCTGATTAGCTGGGAAGAGTTCTCGGATGTGTTTGGAGCCTAGTTTGTATCACCTTCTACAAGATAGCATATGCAGGAGATTTTTCTGAAGCTGGTTCAAGGGAGCAGGATAGCTATGTAGTACGAAACAGAGTTAATTGTTTTTGCCAGATATGCTCTACAGCTAGTTAGCACTCCCACGGAGATGTGCTAAGGCATGGAAATAGCCTCTCTAGGAAAGCAAGGGTAAGGCCGTGCACATCAATCCCTTACCTAATATTGGTGGGAGGTCGGAAACTCCATTCATTGTGTGCACACTTTTTATACATTCTAGTAGGAAAAGTTTGGTTTGGTTGATAAACCAGAACACAAGGTATGATTCTCTCTCTAAATATTTCAAACAAAAGACACCAAGGGGTTTGAAAAAGTCTGATTCTGGGTCAGTTCCTGAACTTGGTTACAATCCCAGAAATAGCATGAAGTTTTAAACTTAAGTTTGAGATTGCATGAAATTGACAGAAAGAGATGTAATTAAAGACACTTGGCCCACATATTGAGGACAACCACAAATCATAATTGAGCCTGAAAGTTCACAAGAAAGGACTCCAAAACAATCATACGAGAAAAAGTTGCTGCTTCAAAAAAATGCCCAAATACTCGAGCTATAAGGCATATGAAAACCTTCAATAATCTAGAAAATATATAAAATAAGGTTCGAGAGCCTTCATAAAAAATGAAGAGTGTCATTCAGTAGAGGTATTGATAGCTTGGAAATATGAAGTAGCCTATTATGTTTGCTGCAACAAATGCCATGCTTATAGATGCCAATAATTTTAAACTTGAATTCAACCCCTTCCTCAAAAAGGTATGAATAACATAACTTGATTTCCTTTTCTTAGAGAAACAGAAACAACGTAGGTCACTAATTTAATTAAAAAACGTACATGCCTCTTCTATTAGATCTCAACTGCCCCCGCTTAACAAGTTCAGCTACAGAACCATGTCGGGTCTGAATCTTCCTTTTAGACAAAATTTGCTTCGCAACTATCAGCACAATTGTTAATGCAATATAAAAACCCACAGCATATTTCGATCCAGCATTTCTTTTCACCTGAAAAGAATACTTGTTCAAGAATGCAGAAAAGCATTTGAATTGAAATGGTGATTCAATGAAGATAGGAAAACAACATTGATATAGCATGATAAAATTACATAGATTTTTAGAATTGAGTAAACAATACAAGATACGTAGTTCCTTTCCTGGGCAAAATAATTAAGCATTTGAATTGAAATGGTGATTCAATCAAGACAGGAAAACAACATCGATCTAGCATAATAAAATTACGCAGGTTTTTAGAATTGAGTAAAGCATAACAGATATGCAGTTCAGCTCCTAGGCAAAATATTTAGGCATTAAACTTCAATTTGAAATTAAAAAACTCCATTAAGGAGTTGTTTGTTTTGTAAAAAAAGAAATGCAAAATAAAATGGAATACAATGTAAAATAAATGAGGTGTATTTGAAATATTTGGTCATTTGGTTTAGTGTGGAGTAAATGCAAGAGATTTTTTTTTATATGGTTTGAAGTAAAATGAATTTAGTATAAAGCTTAGTGATGGTGGATGATGGTGGCGAGCCGTAGCCAATGGAAATCAGTGGCAGGTACATGCCAATGATAGTGAGCAACAGTCAGTGAAGAGTGGCGATGGTGATGGTAATAAGCAAAAGCGGCAATTGAGTGGTAACTAGCGGTGGGCAACAGGTAATGGGCAGCAAGCAAACGGTGGCGATGGTTGGTAGTAGGAGCACGTAGCAAACGGTGGCGATGGTTGGCAGTAGGAGCACGTAGCAAGCGGTGGCGATAGGCGGCGGCAGCATTATCTAAGCTTCACTGTTGCGATGTATTTGGAATTCAACCAAAAATGGACAAATTTCAAATGGATTGAAAATGAACTAAATGGTGAATTCTAAATAATTCAAAATTTTACATTGCATTCCTCTTTCAACTAAATCAAATAGCTAAAATGCATGCATTTGGAATGCTTTATACCCAAAATTCATCAAACCAAGCAGCCCTTAAATAAGAGGGCACTCTCTTCAAGTAAAAATATTTTAACATAATGACAACCCGCATCTACTAGTGTGTATTGTCGAATATGTACAAAAAAAACCCTTTTTGCTAGTAAGTCATTTAATGGGAGCAACAGTAAGTGACAAAAGCAAAATGTTTAAAAGGACTAAGCTTTTTTTTAACTATAAAATGCATTGCATTTTAAAAAGTAATATTGGAAAAGGACTAAATCCCTGGTTGAATAGGTGATTTTCACTTAAAACAAATTTCCTATCTTCAATGTAGTTAGCAAATTGCATTAAAATTGCTAGTTTGAATGCTGATTCAGTACAATCAACTGACAGTTCCATGAACTGATTGGACGGTTCACAGAATTTAACTAAAATCGCCTACTCTAAGGGTGATTTCAAGTAAATCATGTTAAACCCCGCCAACCCAACCAACCCATTCTCCTTATAATTAGGGCTTCTATCCTCAGTTCACTTTGCGCTCAAATCCACTTTAGATTTCTTTCAAATCCATCTATTGCTTCTCTAGTTTTTAAATCTCCTTTCTCTTCCCTCTTTTCAAACTACCTAAACTTCCTGCTCAAGATGTTGTCTGTTCCTATAAAATCATCGCCGAAGTACCCAGTTCTATGAGCAATCTCAATCAATCATTAAGAGACTAAAGAAAGACTATGAATATTATTGCAATGCCCCATTAGCAAGAAAAAATCATGTAGGGTCTTTACCACTAGTCTAGATGCACGCATGAATGCATGTGAGAATAAATGACGAAAATTTTATCATACAAACAAACTATTGAGTAAAAAATAATGGCTTAATGTATAAATGCACACTCCTCTTGAATTTATATAGGTGGTACAATGTATTAAACTGTTATAAATAACATACATCGATGGCCCACTTAAACAAATTAGTATCACGCAAGTACCTATGGTAAGTTAAAATTCATACTATTGGAACCTTCCTGACTACGAGGCCACGTGGGAACCATATGAGAGGACGAAACAGCAGTTTCTTGATTGAAATAAAAGCGTTTGCATCTTTTTCCTACGATTCTCCCTACTTCTTTCTCTCAGTTTTTCTGGAGTTTTGCTGTTTTTCTGCTGTGGACAGCAATATTTGCTTGGATCTACTTTGGTTTTGGTGAGAAACACTTGGAAATCCAAGTGTTTCCTATCACAAACTAGCAGAGAATCCACCAAAATCAATCTAAAAGTCCCAAACTGCTCTTCATCATCATTTATTTATAAGGTTCTGTCATTCTGAAGACTTTAGGAAAAGTTACATAAAAAAGTAAAAAGTACAATGCCACATAGAATGCCAATACAATGCTACACGAACTGCCCTAGATAGTGTCGTCTCCTGGTTGGCTGGAGGAGACCAAGATCTGGAGAACCTCAACGATCTATCTCTAGGCAAGCTTAGTAATACAAAGTGTGTACTTGCTAGTCTAATAGTGTCAAGCATGCAAGTACGCTTGAATGAGCGTAGATATGAGGGGGCTTGCAACTGGTAAACCTATTGATGTTTCAGGTGACTAGAGTAGGATAACTCGAATCGCCTTAAGAGAGAGAGCCACATGAAGATGTTGCCGCAGGAGTGGAAAGCTCTAAGCAGGGTGGTCATGGCAAGGTGAGCTCAGGACCCCGCAAGTAGGCGCCTTCTTGTAGTTAAGCTTGGCAAGTTTGTAAGAGGTTGAGGGCTCTAATAGGGCTCAAACACAGTGTTTTGAATTGGTCTAGACCTAATCTGGTAAATCTTGTAAGTTTGAATTCTTCTCATTTTCATTATGCACTTATCTGTGAACATTTGTATATGTATGAATGCATGAATTGTGTTTTGGGGTGGATCCCAAGGGTCTATGTGTTTAAAATATGAAATATGAAATTTTGCCTTAGAAGCATTGCGGCACTGTGTTCTCGGGTTGTCTGTGAATTTAGAGGGAGCACTAAGGTGCTAGGTCTCTGAGCACTGCGGTATTGGCATCATATATTTTTACTTATCAAAATCCACTCAATTTTCCAAATGTCCAAACTATTTTCTCCCTTAGGTAACTAGGGGGATGGAGAGAAGAATTTTTAGCGCGAGAAAGATTGTTTCGAACAATTTCGGGTTAATTTCGTCATTCGGAGCAGCTCAAAAAATTATATGGGCCAAAGGTACATTACATTTAGTCTCTCTTAGTTTTTAATAATTTGATCTATTCTAAATTTTCTGATATTTTAATTGAATTTTTACACAAAACTAGGTATATCTATTCACTAGGTAAAATTTCACCGCATAACTTTTGGTATATCGTGGTTAGCAATATTCTACATATTCTGACATTTTATTTACAAATTTCATCTAGTATTTTTCAAAATATATCATTTTAATGCCAATGAAAAAAAAAATCTTGCACTTATAAACAATATTATAGTATAATAAAAGTTTTAAAATATAGCTATAAATAATGTGTAGTAATATGGTGAATCTCTAAAAAAAATTAAATTTTATGTGTGATTTTCTCCCGAAAGTATAATTGTTTAACTGTTAATATGACACTCAGTGAAATCCTATTGTGACTCTAGCACTGGATACTATAAAAATGCATTTATTTCCGTATTTATATTTCTAAAATATGTGAATCATAGTGAATTTTCATGGTTGAGAGAAGTTCTGATGTGCTATATGTTGGGATTCATAAGAGCCTGAAATCTTAGAATATCTGAGGTGTTATGCATTTGGGAGTCATAAGAATATATTATCTAATATGCTAGCACAGGGGGTCATAAAGGTCTAAATTCTAATATATATTGAGAGGTATAAGAGCCAAAGGAAAATTATGTTTGTTATGAGATATAAATCTGAAGTGCTTATGTCATGTTTCCTTACTATTCTGTTACTTTAATTGATACTTTAGAAACACCGCTTACTATTCTGAGGATATTTATGTATTCTAAACAATCTGATTGGACCTCTATTTACTTTACCGTAATACCTCTGCTTTATCATTGATAGTAATTATTATTGAAAAATCAAGAAGATTTATGTAGCCTGTTGAGCTATGGTTGCTCATGCTTGCTTCTTATATATGTTTTAGATCAGGATAAGAGAAAGGGCAAGCTGAATAGATAAGGGTTTCAGGATCTAAGTCTGCATGGTTATGTTAAATGATTTTTAACAGTCATGGCTTTTTGTTATGTCCTATTCTATTTGTGTCATGTATTGTTTGCATATAATTATTTTGATTTTAAACATTTTTAAGATGAATGAAACAACTTTCAATAATGAGTATTTATATATTTTAATTGAAGTATTAGTGACTTTGTAGTCTATGAATTATCTAAATTTTTTACAATTCTCTCGCATTAGATATTGGGATATCGATCCTGCCACGATCCAACACGATATGACTCATTCAGTCTGTGAGCTATATCGGGTCGAGTTGTAATAATGATTGATTAGGGAGGTAATCTAAGTACGTGGCGTGTGGTGTATTGCTAGCATGGTGTGAAATCCCCAATTCACCCTGTGAAGGCCAACCTCCTTGGTAGATATCGGCAAGTAGCACCTCCGAGATCATTAGGCAAGTTCCTCAGGTGGCCCCTTTAAGGATGAATCCCTTTGTTACAACCAATCGACTATCTGTTAAATACCTATGAGGGCATATGCGAGTATACGCCTACAACACTGAAATGTTAGACTCGACATTATACCAATTTAGAAAAGCTTTTTTTATCAAGTACAACAACATCAAGCCGTTACCCCACTACATGGGATCGGCTACATAAATCTTTTTTCTCCATTGTGTTTTGTTAAGAGTCAATTTCTCATTTAAATCTAATAAAGAAATGTCATTTCTAATAATTTCTAACCAAATCTTTTTAGGTATACATCTATCTGTCTTAACATAAGCTAAATCTAATACATCTACAGATCTACTATCCTAACCGGGTCATTGGAAACATTTTAGATGAAATAATGCCAAGAAATCATACACATAAGCTGCAATGAAGCAAAAGTAAAGTTTCGATTTGAATTAGAAAGGGAAATCACTCCATGGTCATTAGGGCTTGATTGATTCCTGTTCTTTATAAACACAAAAGTTAATTTTCACTCATAGCACAGTAGCACTAGGACTTTGCTTTTGATAATATATCATATGTGCCTCCGCCTCAACAAACTTTAGCATCATATCTTCATATGAAACATCTTAGATGCCCATCTATATCTTCATCCCCTTATTCTTTCCCCACCTCCTCTCTATTACAGTCATCTTTGTCTCTCCAATTGCCACCCCAAAATTACCATGGGTTGTTAAGGGAGAGTGAGGCTAACCTTCCCAACACACTTTATATCAAGCGAGGAGAAAGTAGCAAGCTTAATTGAAGATAGGAAAAAATTTACTTTCAACTTCCACATGATAATACAAATCATCACATGTTGACACATATCATGGAAAAAATCAAAAGATTAGCCAAGCTTTAATAGCATACATAAGGACGTATTAATTTGAGTTAAGAGCAGTGAAATAGAAACATGATTCCATAAATGGTTATCATGATCACTTTGGGATTATTAGCTACAAAACAATTCACAGGAATCAATTATAAAGCAGTAGAAGATAACAAATTAAGGAACGCAAAAATAATAAGAGTTCTGGAAATTGAGATATCACTATATAATATTCCAATGCAACAAAAGAGCAATAGAATTTCAGGTTTCCTGCAATGAATTCCATATACAAATTAATACAAATAAAAAATCATAACTTGTTCTAAAAAAATTAAGAACGAAAGTTCAGTTCAGTGAGGACAATGTAGTCTACAAACAGTGTTATATGCACTCTCCATACTTATGTTAATCCAGATTTTCTGAAAGTCCTAAAAAATATTGATACTTATATAAAACTTCTATTTTTTTGTAAAAGAAATAATATTTCAAAATTTCATAATGACAATGCTTTATCATAATTTGTAAATAATGACAACTAACCCTAACCTTAAAATATATCTTGAAACATTGAAAATACTAACAATATTACCGTACATCAAAATACACCAGGAGTTCGGTTCAAAATCAAGTCAACCCAACTCAAAGCGATCCAGCAGAACGGGAGAAATGACAACAACAAATTCACTATACTTGTAATAAATTTACCAGGTCACAATAAGCTCACTAGGCTAATCGCAAACTCACTAAAGCATATCCCCCACAAGGTTTCATAAAATATATTAGCCTAAACTCAGAGGCTACTTGCCCACACTATGTTTTGCCAGACAACATCTTCATGTAGCAAGTCTGTGACTTCACACAATAAATTCACAATTTCCTCTAAGTAGGTAGGCAACTTCATCCAACAAGACAACGACTTTGTCCAGCAAATTGGCAACTTCATCCGGCGAGTTGGTGACTTATCCAATGGGTCGGCGAGTTCATCTAGCAAGAAGACAATTTGATACCGAGAATTCATCCAAACTGCCAGCACATGATCCACCAATGAATAATGAGTCCTTCCTCATATATTTATCTAATGCCACAATAATTAGGGTAGCAAGCCGATTGTATACTTTGTATTTTTATAGCTTTTTCTACAACACTAAAACCCTGGCCCAAACCTATCAACAAGGAGTCATATGGGAGGCCAAGGACACGAACTCCGAGATACTCAAGCTTGTACTTTGAATGACCTAACGAAATCTCAGAGCTTCTCTCTCTAGATCTCGCGTTCTTCCTTGTTTCATATTTTCTTCTCTCTTTCTCTTTGTTGTTATGTGTACTTTTGAGAATATTGTATGGAGGGGATTCTAGTGTTTAGAATATTGTATGCAGTGTTCTATTGTTTTACACAGATAATTTAGATTCAACAACTACAACGGTTGCTTCTCTTGAACACACCAGTATTGTTATTTTTAATGAAATTTACGATAATGGCATGTCAGCGTTTCATAAACAAGAACTAATTAATATGAGAAATTCAAATAGTACTGTCAAGGTTTTGAGAAACTCGCAGATTGTAAGGATTAATTGCTCATAAATTATGCCATATGTTAAAATGTTTTAACTGCCGTAAGTCTCCAAAAAATCTACCAATACCCCAAAAAATAATGTAAATCTAAGCCTTCAAAACGAAAGGTCTTTCAGAACTTTTATGAAGTGATGCCAATCATACAATATACTAGAAAACGATTGGGTATAAAGCCAATAAAAGATAAAAAGGAAAAAAACAGCCGCACCAGAACAACAAAGGAAGGTGGATCATTAATCCTCCCGTGCAAAGAGCCCGTCATTTTATCAGATTCTAACGCCTTTGTAGAGAAATCAACTCGAACTCCACCTTCCACTTGCTCGCGGCCGGTCGAATCAATAGAATTTTCGGCCGACATCACCCGAAACTCACATGCTTTCCGAAAACTCCATCTCAATCGACATTTACTGAACCAAAGCACCTCCAAATTTGCCACATTACCAACCTTGAACTCTCGACCTCCATTCTGCAGGAACTTATAAAACAAAAATGTCGAACAAAAGCAATCATAACTTTGCAACCGCGAACAAATTGAGGAAGAATAATAGAAGAAGAAAATTACGCCGTTGCTTAGCGATTGGGCGGGAAAGAGAGAAAGGGCGTTGAAGATATATGACATAGCAACCAGGACATCAAATCTGAGCACAAGATTAGTAATTAGGGCTTTCAGCTCAAAAGTCGGGTTTTTCCTGGCTCTTCCAGTAAGAGCATTAGCAGATGCGATTATATCTTGATGAGCTTGTGTGACAAATGGGCCATTGAAGTAGTACTGAAATAAAAGAAAACAAAAAAATCATGCCGCTGTTGAAGTCCCAAACGGTTCTATAATTCTATATAGGACTGTTTTTGTTTTGACTTCATTGTATTCAAGTTGCAAAACAAAATGATATATGTATTTTTTTTTTATTTGAAGTAAAATAAATGTTAAATATTTTGTAGGGATTTGTAATACTCCATAAAAGTTATTTTTGATAAATTGGAATTCGCCCAATTTAGGCAAACTCAAAATGGATTACTCCCATGCATGGAGTTCGCATTTCACATTCCTCGCCCAAGTGCCAATGACCAAATTATGTCCTTGCATCACCCGACTGCTAGAAACCTCATTGTACTCTCGCCAATAATCACGCATTACACTTGCACCGATCCATGATAGATGACATATGTCGCCTAGTAGATTTTGTAAGGATGGAAAGTTATGTCTATACGTTAGACCATTTGAAGTGTTCGAAATGATTGGAAAATCGACCTATAGATGATAATTGTTAGATCATATGTCAGAAATCCATAATGTGTTCCATGTATAACTTCCAAGAAAGTGGATATCTGATTCTAGTAATAGAATATCTACCAAAGTTCATGATGTGGTTCACATATCACTTATAAGGAACTTATTACTAATTATTTAAGTTATGTGATGATTGTCTTTGTTAAACGATGGTCGTTATGTTTATTTCATCGTCATTGGGGCTAACTTAATAGCCCCATAGGCCCGGGTTACCAGATAATCATTTTGTTGTTAAGTTGATTTTATATTTGTTACTTAATTAATGAATATTTAATTTGTTATTATCCTCTTGGTTGGTTCCTTGCGAATTTTAAGATAGGTTATAAGTTCATTAAACATATTTTGTCAATTGATTTCATGTCTTTTAAGAATTTTTTCTGTTGTTATTTGGATCAAATGAACTTCACATAAATAAGTTCTACTCTAGGCTCAAACAATAAAACGAACATCCTAATTATTAAGAGAAATACAACATAAAGCTAACATATGAATCTTCATAACATACTAGAGCTCAAATTTTAATTAATTTTATATTTTTTCCTTTAACACATTTATGAAAACCACATTTAAAGACTCAAAATTATTAAGAAACAACTTTTTTAGAGTTATTTAATATTTTAAAACCCAAATAAAATCATCATAACGATGCCCACTTAGTGAGGAAAAATAACAATGCACATGGCAAAATGGTGGGCTTACACAATAGGCCTAGGGTGATCATGAAGGTCTCTAAGATTCACAGAAGGGGGTATGTAAGCCCTGACATACCTCGCAAGCAAAGAAGTAAAGAAAGAAAAATATTGATGTGAGTAGATACTATTCAAAAAGAAAGACAAGTAAATAAAAATTTAACTAATAAGCAATTCAATATTCAAATTCATCAAATATATACGTGTCGCCATTAGAATGTAAAATAATGTGAGAGTTTCCTAACCATAGTGTAAAGAAAGGTTACACATGAATCATATGAAACTTTGACAATACTAAACATATAAATTTACTACAACGTATCATAGGAGAAACATATATAGGACATGGAATCATGATAGCATAGGTGAAAGAGATTGTGCATAAGACATGAAAATTCACTAGTGCATACATGAGATACATAGAAATTTATTAATTACTACATAGCCTCGAATATTCACAAGGAGCCTTCCAATTGAATTAATGATTTGTACTTTTTGTCAAACATTCATGTAATACTAAGGCTCAAGCATTTTTATTGTAAAGTGAATATTTCACATGTGTTCTCTCTTGATTAATATAATTAACATGTTAGATGGAGTTTAATCATTAAAACAATGACACATTTAAGTAAACATAAGACAACTATTATTTACAAAATACCTATATGAAATGCTTTTTATCTTAATTGGCATACTAACTTTCCCTTGGATATGTAGACATGATATGGAAACATGGGACACATATATGTGGGAATTTATCAAAGTTACAAATCTCGCATCAAATAGGTGATTTTGCAATCACAACGTGCACATAAACTTACCAACAAATCAAATGTGAATATAATGTACACATAATCCCTCCCACAACCATGCAACCTCGCATTCCATATTAAACATAAAGAATATGAGAGTTTTTTTTCCCTTTAAAACATGGTTATACCCCTTGCATCACAATATTGAACACGTGTGAAATTTTTTTCTAATGAGCACATAAATTTTGCTTAACATATAATGTTGAAACATAATCTTGAACAAAAATTTTTAATTAGGTGTATAAATACAATATTAAGACACAAAACACAAGAGTACATTCTCTTAATTGAACCATAAATCTTTGCATGAAATATATATAACTTTGTGACTTAGGCATGCATGTGATTGAAGAAATACAACCAATAAACTACTTGCTAACACAAATATTGTAATATTGCAAATCTCGACTCAAGACATATGATTTTGATGAAAACAAACATTATTGGATTTCTTACTATGATATTTACTTGATAGTTGAGTTTATTGCATATCTATTTTTCTCTGCTCACTAACATTTCAGGTCCACTATTCACTTGTAACTTCAATTCAATATTGGGTAGACTAGGATTAAAGTGTATATTTTCAATCGTTATGTACTTTTTATCTTTCTTGAATCAATCATTTATATTGGTGGATCCTAAAGCTGAGTAACTTTGCACACAAACTCTAGGGAGTGAGTTAGTGAGTTAGGAATAAGATGAGTTTTTTGAACTAGTCGTACTGCATGGTTTATATTGTATAAGACAACCAATTAATAAAAAAAATCATTAGTTAAGGTAATTTTGCTAATGAAGATTAAGTAAAATAATCATACTGGATGATCCTTATCATACAGGACAATCAATTATAATCATGAAAATAGACGCCAATCGTAATTTATGCAATATTTTGTATTTCAAACTTTATACTAATCGCACCGTACAATATGTATCGTGTGATTAGGGAACTTATTAATCATGTGATTAGGGAACTTATTTGCATTAATTGATCCTAACAAATCGTATAAGATGATTTGACCGATCGTACTGTACAAATAGATTCTTATATGGGAAGATAATTTATTCTTGCCTATTATACTGGACGATAATCCGAGTTATTTGAACCAATCGTACTAGATGATGTTCTAAATCGTCCTAGACAATCAGCTCATTTCTTTAAAATGATTGTACAATGTATATCTCTTCATTTAGACTAATAGAAGTACTTTGAACTAAACATACTATATGATTTTATATCATACAAGACTATCATAGTCGCTATAATTAAAATTAGGGCTTTTTTAAAGGCATTCTATTTAAACTCTCACATTGTCTTATTTCATAAGCTTTTTGCTGCTAAGTGTCTTGAGAGGGAGCATAGAGAAGGAGTTTAAGAGAGTTTTGGGAGAGAAGAGATGAAGAGCTTTTTTGTGAGGGAGAGTTGTGAGGGATTCTCAAGGTTACTCCATATAAGGTTCTTGCCTATCTTCTGCAAGTCTCTACCTTGATCATGCTACAACACTAGACGGTGGTTCTCCGTCATCTCTAGGAAGAAGAAAAATGATTTTGGTTCTTTTCCATCTCTAGGACGGAGAAAAAATATTATAGTTTCTCTGCCTTCACTAGGAGGGTGAAAAATGATTTCAAGTTCTCTGTCTTTTACAGGAGGGTGAAAAAGGATTATAGGTACTCTGCCTCACTAGGAGGATGAAAAGAGTAAGGTCTCATGTCGCACCAGGTTAGTGGAAGAGATTTGTAGGGCTTCTCCGCCCAGTTGTGGGGACTAAAGAAGCATAACTAATGATTCAATGCAATTCTCGGAGGAGAACTCCGGGGAGTGCACGTATGTTATTGTTTGACCGAACAACTATAAATTATGATTTATTTATTCTTTTTAATTTTCATGCTTTATTTTTTGTGATTAATTGTGTGGTTGAAAATTCTGATATTTTTGTTATTGTGAAATTAATTCGCTTCGTCATTGAGTGATAAAATTGTCAGTCTTTAAATATTGAAAAAGTTATAAAAAAGATTTTCTTTTTTAAAATAAATTTTTAAATATGTGGTTTAACAACTTTCATGAACTTTCATGCAAAATTACTACAATCGTTGACATTAAAAAATGAGAATTAGTTACAAGATATGCATGTGTGTAATAATTCTCAATCTTTCCTAAAATTGTTCAGATACATATATATTCATTTCTAACATAAATAAAACACACTTACATTCGATCTATGTATACTTACAATTGAAACACGAGATATATAGGGTCGTCATACATGGTTATCAAATTTTCATCACATAACATTAAATATGCATGTAAGTTCAAGCTTCATGAATATATGTAATCATATGGAGTGTAGCTTTGCATGCATTGTACATTTCACTTTAATCTTAACTCGCAATAATAACTCACCATTTATAGAAATCTCAATAGCCAATAAAAAATTATCATGCACTCATACACTTCATTCAATCACATATTATTCACTTTTGCTGATACAAATCAATCCACCTTAATCTACCTAATATGACGGACTCACAACCAATTTTTAGATCTCTGGTTACATTTCAATTCTTTCAATAACTGCTCTAATACATATTATAATGCCCTAGAATAAAAATTGAAAAAAAAATTATTTTATCTTTTACTAGAAATTCTATGAATCATCAAAATAATGAATCTATATATCCAATGAAAGTAAATAATAATTGCATACCTTAAAATATTATATTATATTTATTCTCCCAAATTTAATATTCAACAGCTAGAAGATAATGCAATTACCACTCTATCACAAACTCTTAACTATAAAAGAATTCAATTATAACCATTATTAAATTTGAAATAATTATTTATTTTATCTTTTAATTAATCAACTAGAGCTTCTATAAATCATCAAAATAATAAATCTATTTATTTAGTAAAGAACTAACAATTGCATACCTCAAAATATTACAACATATTTATTTTACCAAAATTAATATATAATAGTGAGAATATCAATACAATTACTAATCTATCATAAAGTCCTGATTATAAAAGAATAATTAAAAAATAAATAAAACTGAGGATCTCTGCCAATATTACTCCACCTAGTGCTGACCCCTTCTCCAACATGAAATCATTAAATTCACATAATGAGGCAAAAAACCTAGCAGTAAACCAAACTCACTAAAACTTTCAACACACTACTAGAAGAATCAATATGCATACTCAGTTTAGTTAATAAAATTAATCTCATTACTGATCAATTATCATTTATAAAGCTCAAAATGATCAATAATAAAAATAGGAAAACTATTACAATGAATCTAAAAATTAATACTATACAAGAGAATTAGTAAAATAATGATATTATAATCATTCAAGCATTAGTAAAAAGAATCACGGGTACATAAGTGTCAATATTATTTGTCTTATCCTCTTATATCCACCCTATAAATTATATGGAAACAATACTTATATCCATCCATGTATTATCTATGTACATATATTACTACTATATTTATCAATGTTAACAATATATGCATGCATCAGTATATAGTTTAATAAGACAGGATATCTAGCTTTTAACATGATATTTTCATACTTTCATATATTCTTTATTTATATTATTATCTTTCATCTTTTATCATTATTATTATAAGTGGCATTCAATAATCATTAAGAGTCATTACCCACTACCCGTCAGCATAATTTGGTCATCTGTTACAAGCTCAATTGATATAACACCACAAACTATCTTTAAATAAAAGCCCGTCAGCCTACCCTCATATGTAGTGTATTATGTTAGCTCATCCATCTACTAGATTTTAAAATATATATTTAAAACTTTTCAATATATCATTTTTTAAAGATTTTCTTAAATACCAAACATTCAAGTTTTATAAACGAGTAGAGTTCGACCTCTCAATCGAGCAGAGCTCAAGTAACCAAGCTGAGCTCAAATTTATTTTTTATATAATGAGTCAAATTTGAGCTAATTAAACGAGTTTGGAACGAGTTCAAACAATCAAGTTAAATTCGAACTTAATTTTTATACAACAAATTGTGTTTGAGCTTAGTAAGAGCTAAACGGGCCGATACGCCACTGCTAGACTCGTTTGCACAGCCGACCAACTCACGCCTCACCACGAACGACGGGAAATTATTCTGCGCGGAGTCCGAACGTAGAGGATTTTCCTTGCCCGATTCCCCGGCCGACCTCGCCGCCTCTGGTAGCCCTGCTCCTGACGCCGTCCAACCGCCACCTCTCCCTCTTTTCTTCTTCGTTCCCTTCATTCCACCTTTTCTTTTCCTTTCTTCTACTTCTTCCCCTTTCCTCCCCCATTTTCTTTCCTCCATTTTTTTCTCCCCACTTCTTCCTCCTCTCATCTTCTTCTTCCTCAATAAACTAACACTAACCCTAGCCTCCACCTCCACTTGCTCACTCTAAAATCCGAGAGAAAGAGAGTGGTTTCTCCATCTAACATCTTCTCTTCAATTTCAAAACTCCCTTCCTACAATCTTTTATACTTCCTCCACCAAAACCCTAACTAACCCTAACTTTCTCTCATTTTCTCTCTCTAGACCTAGAGGAATAAATTCGTTTCTCTCTCTAAACACACACACAGAAAGTACATTTTTCTTTATCTAGGTCACCTTCCATCACCCCTTCCACACCCACTCCTTTTCTCTCTCTACCTATAGAGAATAATTTCACTCTCTCTCTAATATTGAGGGAGTGGTTCGCTCTATAGTATACCTCTCTCCACTCTCTATCTACAAAAAAAGACAAAAAGAAGAAAAAAAAGAGAGAAAGACTCGTGTGTGGCCGTCCTTGTTGTCTCGCCGTTCGCTTTTGTCGCTCCACACTTTGAGGTATAACCCTAGCCAGACACTAGTTTTATTTTATGAATTGATGTATGTGAAACCGTAAGTACCCTTGATTGTCTTTCTTGACAGACGGGGAAATATTACCGTGCATGTAAAATATTAAGCATTCGTGACTGTCTTTCTTGGTAGGTAGGAAAATATTGCTATGCATGGTACACATTACTGCCTTTCTAGGCAAGCGGGGAAATATTTCTATGTATGATAATCCTAAGTACCCGTGACTGCTTTTCTTGATAGGCGGGGAAATGTTGCGCTTTATAAATAGGCACCTGAAGACCCCTGATTGCCTTTCTTGATAGGTGTGGATTAGAGATTTTGGCGCGATATCACCCAACACTGATCATGCACGCATTTTTTCATGTGGCGGGAAGGTTTAACACATCTCGATGCAGCCTTTGCTGTTGAAATTTACACCAAAATAAAGGATTTAAACTAAATTTAAGAAAACTAAAACCTAACATAACTCCCAAGTCAACAAAATTTAAAAAATATTCGAAATCCTAAGTCGCAAACAATGAAAAACAAGAATGCAACAAAATAAAGCTTATAGAGTGAACTTGTAGGAGAAATGATAGCTCGCCAACAAGCTCAAATACAAACTAGAACTTTCCTCTTTTTTGCTCCTAGTTCGCTCGTGCATACCCAAATCCACTGGCAAAATTCTCCTTACAAAATGGAATATGCAAAATAAACCTGCGGTTCGCCTGTGCTTCGTCCACGCTTCAGAGCTTTACCCCGCTTCCATGCTTCTCCCTGTTGTTTGCTTGCGCTAATTGAGCCGCTTGAAAGTAATCTTGTCGAGCATCACCTGAGCTCAAACTCGAGCTCGATAATCCAACGAGCTTGAAATTTTGCTCAAGCTTGAAGCTCGATAAGCTCGGCTCACTTACTCCCCTACCTCTAATCGATGATATGGCTACCAAATGACATCACATGTAAACGATATGATCAGAGCCCTCTGACCTAGTGGTTTTATTGCCAAAGAGTACCACTAAATTACGGTTGCTGCCAGAGCTTGTATGTTTTCTAATGACTTTAAATCAATGAGTAATGAATTACATGATATACTTGATATAGTATAAAGCTCTTTGTTAGTTAAAGTGGACTCAAATTTATCAACTTAAACAAATATTCGCCCAAGTCTACAAGGTATTCTTGGAAGATGCAACCCATGACTACCGACAATGATCTTTAGGTCAGGTTGGGTTTACTATCTCCTATAACAAAGTAGATTAGGGATCGGGTAGACCGTCCAAATTTGATTGGGAGGGAATTGCAAAATTTCTTAATCAAGAGGGAGTTGTTTAGGAAGGTTCTTAATCAAAATAAATTAATTAGGAAATGTTTCCTAATTGAAGAGAGCTTATATTGGGGCTGATTTAGAGAGGATTAATTAGTAAATGTTTCTTAATTGAAGAAGACATATTTAGGGGCTGATTTGGGGGATGATTTGAGGGTTGATTTGGGAGAGAAATAATTAAGAAAATAGGAGGGCTGTTTGGGTATTTGTTGTTTAATTATTTGCTTTAAATAGGAAGAGAGGATTAGGGTTAGGGTTATGCAAATTATTAGTCTGTTCTTGTTCTTGGAGTTTGGTGTCTTGGGCTCTATCGGCGTCTAGGGATTGGGAGAGATCGATCCTCCTCTCGAATTGAGGATCAATTGTATATTATTCTTTTCTTCTTCCGTTAGTTTGATTTATGCAATAAAAACTATTACTTGTTTTTTCATTGGATTTGTGGAGCATTCTTGCTGTGTTTGTCTCTATTGTTAGGGTTTCCTTGAGTTCTTCAAGTATTTCCTAACAAGAGCATGACAGCTCGGGACGATGGAAACATGAGATCTTGATGGGACCCACAATCATTCTTTCATTATCCGTTTTAAGTGTATGATAATAAATTTCAAAATCATTAAAAAGCTGCAAATCCAATTTTAAATTCTAAAGTTGCTGCTACTAAATGATGCGTACTCAGTGCCTATTTAACGATTAGCCTTAATTGAAAGCGCTCTCTTATTATCGGGAGGGGAAATTAACCATAAGGACCTGCGCATATGGGAAATCAGACCTCATATCATAAAGTCCTTGCGAAATGAGGGCGAAATCTCGAGCAGTGTCTTATCTAAAATTCAATCTACCTTTTGAAAATTTACCCCAAAACCTAAACTTGTTAAAACTCTCATCGTCAACAAAACAAAAGGTGTGGAGAGGCCGGGGCATGAATTTTTGATGCCTACAAAATAATTTTGAAATGCCACTCATCATGATTTAGTTTGTTAATGAAAAGCCAGAATTAACAATCTTGGTCTTTCTAGAGCTGGCAATGGATTTCCTTTGCAGGTTTTTTTGAATAAAAATATGTGATTTTTTTAGTGATTGGGTTGAGCAGTTCATGGTTCGATAGTTTTAAGTAGCAGCTGGTTCCTGTTATTAATTTTCTCTTGTCAAGCGAACTTTACTTTGATTGAGCTCATAATTCTAGTAGGGTTTACGTAGATTATACTCTCATGAAATCATCTTTTATGAATTTTGGTGTTGTACTTTCATGTGCTTAATGATGTAGAAATACCACTCATTATTATGTTTAAGTTATTTCATCACATGTCCTGTTATTAATTTAGGTGTTGTACTTTCATGTGGCTTAATTTTGGTTGTCAACTTCAGCTGTGATCAACATGTGCTGTATTTTGTGACAAATGAATTCAAATTATTCATTAAAATCAAAAGGCATCCTGTAATATTGTCAAATTTATTGCATATCTAACTCACTTCTTATAGAGGAAAGAATCGTGATAGAAAATTTTAAAGATGTCCCTAAAACTGATTATAAGATGATTGTGTTTATTTTAAATGGATGGACAAAGTTGAACACAACATGTGATGTGAAGTTCCAATTACTAGCTTCTGATGAGAGGGTTATAAGGGAAACTAGAGTTCATAACCTTTCAAATGAAAATTATGATAGCAAACAGTATTATTTATATAGCAATAATGTTATTGTTGCTTAATGCAGTTATGTATTGAATAGTCTATTTAAGATTGTGCTATAAAGAAGATCGTTTATAATGAGTAGTATACTTCTGAACCTTATTAATTTAGATCTTGTGCTATAGCTTCTTATTTTAATTGAAGTTTTTGTTGTAATATATAGATGGCAATCAAATATTATTGAAGCTGCTGTTGCAATGTAGAGTTGGTTAAACCAGTTAAATGTAAAAGTTGCGATGGAAGATACTAAAAGCAGGGTGGCCGTGATTGCAGCCAGAGCATTTTTTTGTCTTCCATTACAACTCCAAATAATAGTCAGTTGTATGAAACATGGACACAACCAATTTGAAATAATATCTGCTGCCAAAGGAGAAACCACATTACCCAACTATTGCAAGTGCTTATGCATAATATAATTGTCATTTGTCAGTTAAAAGGAATATAGCAAACACCTCCCACCCACACAATGTGAAACATGAACACAACCAAGCTAAACCTAGTGCCTGATGTCAAAAGTATAAAAATATAAAAATTATATAATATCTTTCAAATTCATGATGACAAATTTTTTATATATTATAGTTGGCTCTCATTATAATTCTCTAATGTGAACTATTCTCTCAGTCTCCTTGCTGTCGCTGCACAGCTCAAACACGATGATGGCCTTTAGTGAGATCACAACGCCCAAGGCTGCAGCATTGCATTTGCTCTGTAGCCTTAGCCTGTTAGTTGTGCATTGGCTCGCATGGAATCTTTACTCGTGGAGTCTCATCACTCACACTTCCGAAACTCTAGGCCTCTGCCTGGTAAAAAGGAACAACCTTAATCCTTCTTTCTTGCTTTATCCATTATTCATTCACTTAAGCCCACCCCAATCCATTATTAGATTAGTTTGAAATCATTTTCATTTGTCACAGATTGTTCATGGACCTATCGTGATTGGCGTGTACAGCTTGGTTCGACGAGATCGACAACATTGCTCGGTAATTTCTTGCAACCTGTCTTTTATTTTGCTTGAACGAACTTGTTATTAAAGAAAGGTAGGGTTTTGACAGTATTGGATGGCAGTAGCACGGGGACTGTTGGGGCTTCCTGTTGGTGAGTTATTCATAGGCTTTCTATTTGACATTAACTGTTAAAGTTTTCTTCTTTCTATTGATATGATTCAATCTTTCTATCATGAGTGATATTACACTTCTTATTATTTTCAGGGGCTCTAGTAATGGCATTTGGAGCAATTGTTTTAGGAGCTCCAGTAGGGATTCGGTAGGTCTGTGGTAATTTGGCTTATACTTTTTGCATCACTGCTTGCTATTTTCAGTTTTTTTTTTTTGAAACTATGAATTTTCAATAAAACCCTATTATATGGTCTTATTGTTTGTTTCCTATCTTTTGGATATTGTCATTATTTTTTATCGTTGCTTACATTTTCTGTCTTACATAACTCATATTTGCATTTGATGTAGATACTTGAAAAGAACAGCTTATTGGTCTCTTCTGATGTCTGTATTCACTGTGAGTTTCTAGTGCTCTTGTTTAATGGTGATTTTCAATTGGAGTTAATTCAAATGCAATAAAAAAGAAGAGTGATTTTTGTTCTTCATAATGCAATAAAAAAGAAGAGTGATTTTTGTTCTCATGAAGTTGATACAATTTCAACACCTTCCCTAAGCAGTAAAAAGAAATGATGTTGACCGATAATTTCTTGTTCTCCTATTTTTTCTTATGGGTGATAGGAAACATAAGAAAATATGTTGAATTCGTGAGTTTGAGGAGCATTTCTCCACAAAAAAAAGCTTTGTGGATAGGGGGAAGGCGGGGGTGTGGTGCTTATAACTGTTTGATATCATGAATCATGCTTCTAGTTTTATGCATAAAAATGTTACCTGACTTTTTCTTGTGATAGTTTGTTCCTCCGGCATGTGTCTTTGGCTCGTCGAGAGTGGATTGGCATCGTATTTTTGCTCATTTCAAGTAGGTTTTGTTCTTAGCATTTTATTTATTGTACTATAGTTTATTCTGATACATTGGCTCATTTATCTTGTTCTTGCATGATTAATTTCCCAACATTTCTTATTGTCATGCATACTTATTATCAATATAAATTAAAAGGAAATAAAAAGGAATTTCAAGTCTCAACCTTCATCATCTTTGCTCTTACCCATATATAAGTTGTTTAGCTTAATTATGCTAAATTTCTTTTGCTTAACTTTTTTCCATGATAACTTTGGTATACTATTCTCTTTCGTGATTCTTTCTCCATAATTTTATGGACCCTATCTTATTAGAATTAATATTAGCTCTTTTTGTACATGCCCAATGATCTAAGTTCTTTAACTATGCTATCTTCAATAGTTGCAACTCTTATAGTCTCTTTAATATAATCATTTCTCACTCTCTTCTCTAGTTTTGCTATATATCCATCTAAACACTCCCAACTATTTCCAACAAATTGTTGCAATTATTGATCTAACTATAAATTGTTTTAATATCCTTTTGTTCTATTTTTTCATCCAAATATATATTGATGATGCTTAATTTTAATATTTAAGAATTCTTTTGTTCAAACATAATCTTCTTTATTGAATCATTACTTGCAAATTCGTTATTGAATCTTTAGTAAAATTCTAATTTGCAATTACTATATATCTTTAGGCCTGAAGAATCTCTTGATGCTTTGGTTTGTCTACCAGCATATGGAAGTGTTATAGGTGCATGGATTGGTGCTTGGCCTATGCCACTTGATTGGGAAAGGCCATGGCAGGTATTGTTTTTTTTTTGTACTTTGAGTTATAAAGTGTGACGTGTACTTATACATTATCGTTGAAGTCAACATATAAATTTGTGTGTTTGTTCACGTGCACACATGGAAATTGTAGTCAAGCCATAGGAACTTGATCACTTGGCTTCTATTATTGAAGGAATAAGTCTTCTAGTCAACTGAGAATATTTATAATTTGTCATTGTACTATGTAACAACTATATGCATGGTAGATGTAAAATCAAAGCTTCCTATACTTTGTGAATTTGTCCTTTGCTTGATTGTTAGTGTTTGCACCGAATTTACAAGAGCCTGAGTCTTTTTAAATTGTGTGTATACTGCAAACATAAAGTGATATAGTGTGTGCTTTTTTTACTATATTATAAAAATTAGTTGTTAGTTTTGGGAAAGTCTCTGTTTTATTTAAGTTAGTTTGTTTCAACAATGTAAATATTTGAAAGTTGTTGGTACTGAGTTTCATTAGCAAGCTTCATTAAGTTTTATTATTTTTCATGAACTCGTTTATTGTGAATTGTGCTTTGTTTGGGCTGACTTGGTTAGAAAATATTAGAAATGACATTTTTTTATTAGAATTAAATGAGAATTTGACTCTTAGGTAAACTTGCCTGAAGCATCCGATTGAAATCATCAAGATTGATTGAATCTAGGCGAGTTGCTGAATTTAAGGCTCTGAAGATTCCATGTTTTGCTGGCTTTTGATCCTTTTTTGAGTTGCTTATAACCTTGGATTATTGTGATTAATCGTAGAGATTGATGTGTTGGTGGTCTAAACAGTTCGAACCTAAGTAGCCAATGTCTGTATTCATACGTTCTTCTATATATTTATGTTTGTGTGAGTTTATTCATGTATTCTTTTACATTTTTGTCTATTAATGTGTGCATAGATATCTTGCTTGTGTATGCTTATATATATTCCTCCATATATGAGCGTGCACAATCAAAATATTTATGCACACATTTAAACATAAATGTGGAAGAATACATGAATACACTCACACAAATATAAATATATAGAAGAATATATAAATACACACACATTGGCTACTTAGAGTTGAACCGATTTGATATGATAAATTAGCATAATGCAGATTTCTACCCAATATATATGTATATATATAAACGTACTCAATTAATATATTTATGCACATATTCAAATATAAACATGTGAAATAATATATTCTATAAGTTATCTAATATTTTTAAATAGGCTTCATGTTGAGTAACAACTTGTGTTTGCTATGATAAGCACATGAGTAAAACATAAACATAAATTTTGGTTCATTTACTTAATGATCCTAGCCAAACAATTGTTTACTTAATGAATGGAGCATTCCTTTCAATCAGCCTTGGTATTTTTACCCACTCGTGCCTATTATGGAGCTGTTCTAGACGTTGCACCGCTTTTACCTATACAGCTTTACTTCAGTTCTCATATGAGTGGAGATCATTTTATGCAGGAATGGCCAATTTGTGTCACCTATGGCGCTGTTGCTGGATATTGGATTGGAGGTCTCGCATCTTCAGTGTTCATTCTCATCCATGGACCGGTTCATGTCAAAGAGGACTAACCTGTTGAGGATTTCATTGGTTTTTCATGGCAGACGATTCCACTTTCTGTTTTGATTGGCATTTAAGTTCATCTCATGTATAACTGACCACATACATGCGACCAGCATGAAATGCACCATCTTGCTTATTAGCTGCAGATATTTTTGGTCTTGCAGTTTTTTGATGGTTGAATTGTGAATGCTTAGAGAAAGGCAATCTGTTGCAGAGATATTCTTAAGATTTTTTTTTGGATTCAGCCATCGAACTTGTTATCTTAATTGTAAGACATCATTATGAACAACGTGACTTTGATCGAACTAACTTGATTTCACTGGTGCTTGATTCTGATTGAAAACTTAATAAAGGAATCATTCCGTAGTTCTACCTACACAGGAACCGTTTTTCACATTGTGGCAGTGAAGATTGCTAGAGGATTCACTGGTGATTGTTCTAAACCAGTAATTGTTTCTCTATTTCCCTTCTAATTATTACAATTATTTTCAGGTTGTAATACGGTACTAAGTTTGTGCCATTTAATTGTTATGTACAAACATCTGGCAATTTGAATTACAAAAAAGAGTGTAATTGTTGGAGTAAAGGGCTCAGTGAGGTTCCAAGTAGCATATTCTCCATACAGAAAAATAAGCTAAAATGTGAATTCAGCGAAGGCCTTGTGACTAATGTTCAGATTCTGTTGTAGGCTTATCGAAGGTGAATTCTTCATTCCTCTCTTCTTCTACATGCAGGCGGAGTTCAGCTGTGTTGGCATCAGCTGCACTGTGCTTGAAGCTCGGGATCATATGCATCATTGTGGTGTAGCCGTTCTCAGTTTCAGAGTTATCTCGATCCGAGAAATATGGTGCGGTTTCTATCATCTCAGACCTCTCATTTTCCTGGTCCAAGTAGTATCTTGTTTGCATCATATCAGAATGTCCTGTAGTTTTGTACCGATGAAGAAGGTGATTAGGGGATGAAGTAGGGCTTGTTCTTGGAGTTGAGCCTGGGGTTATGGTGGGAGAAGGGGAATTTCCCTTCTTGTGCCGCTTCCTCACAGCTTGGTGCCATTTCTTCAAAGCCCTGTTTGTCTGCTCATCAAAAATGGACCTCTTCATGTCTGATCCCATCTGCAAAATATAACATATTTTGTATTATGCAGATGTTAACTTAACATCTCAAGCTAGTTTAATGACACTATAATATCAATTTAGCACAACTTGCTTCTTTTCGAGTGCTTAATCTTTCTGTAATCTAGATTTAACAAGTCATTTATTGAAAGTCATTGTTTCCTACGTAATTTTCACAATTGTTATTATCGATTGCATGCCATTCATAAAACTAAAACTATTGTCACAAATTACAATGAATTTTTAATTTCAATTTTCCTTTTTTGAGAGAACTAAATATGAGCAATGCAATATCTTGTTTTTATCGGTCTCTATGCTTTAATGAGAGTTATATAATATGAGCTATAACAACATCAATAATTCCTTCATCTACATGAGATTTCTATGGAAGGGCATCTATTGTTAAGCATCTGAAATGACAATCATAACAAGATATATTAAAATTTGCAAACTTAATTTCTACCATCATCCACTCTCATCAATAAGATGGATATAGAAAAATAATGTAGAAGTATTAAAAAAGAAATTCATGATAAAAAATTAAATGAATAGGAGTTAACTCATATAACATGCGACATAAATGAATGGAAAAAATTCAATCCCAAATAGTTGTGATAAAATTAAAGATGATGAGTTTAATAAGCTGCAGTTTTCATGTAACTTTGCTTGATACTGCATGCAAGTTAAATCTCCTTTACATTAACATTAAGAATTATTTTGTACAATTCTTTCGAGTTTATGGCATTCAACAATGAATGGTAGATATTCTTTGAAGTAAGCATATACCTGAGAAACCACAAAATAGGAAAATTGAAATATACCTGAGATACAAGTGCATAAAGTGGAAGAGTAATGTAGCTGCACATGAATTGGACTATCACCCTGAAAAGCATTGAAAAACCACAAAATTAGCAAACCGTAAGCACTGTACTTGATCAGTAAAGTTAGGAACAAATAGCCATGTTGTCTATTTAGTAATAAGTTTGCATTCAACAAACGAATTAACTCAGAGTTGGCGATATCCATCATACTTTTCACATGGATTCTTCTCCCCAACTTCTTCTGAAGTTTCATGGTAAGTTTCACATAAAAATTACCAAAAAGGTAAGCACATAAGTTATTTTCTCCTAGTACAGCATAGTTTTAGGATCTAAGTGTAGTTGAATGTTCAGTGTAGAATCTGGACATAATGAAAGTTTTTAAATCTACTACAGAAACCAAAATGGATAGACTGGTTTGAAACCTGAAAACTGGTTTATTACTGTTGGAAAATATGTCCTATAATGGCCAACAATTGCTTCAAGAAGTTTGAATGAAGGTGATAATTGAATTTGCATCATATGACCTCAAAGCTTACATGCCCAGTCTTACCAAATTAAAAGTTATATTGAAACTGGCTATGCTGTTAAATTATGTTGCTGAAACTCTTAGAATAAACCTATTGCATTTCAACTCTTTTCTTTTGCTTAAAAAAGAACGGTTCTTGATTTCCATATAGTTTGGCACAATAATTACTATTTCTTTGATCATCATGAACATTACTACCACCTCTACTACCATCATCATTAACATGACAGCCGCCGCCATCATCATCATTAGTAGTAGTATCTCAACTATTTGAGATCAGCTTTATATATACCTAATCTCCATTCATTCATATTGAGTAATGCCAAGTGGTTAACCTAATATTTATCATAAGCTATGATGCACAAATACAGATACGACGATACGGACATGGGACATGTCAATTATTTAAAATATAGAAAACATACACGGGTTGAACAAGGTATTATAATTTATATGTATTAAAAATAGTATTTAGAAGTTGAATAAACATAATATTAAGAATAATTTAGAAATAATAAATCATTTAATCATGATATGTGTCTAAAATGATTATTATTAGGATTTCGAGAGTTGGGTCTGAATATCGTGTCAGACATTAAGAGGGTAGAGGAAAATGCTAATGAGAGGATGGCATCAATGCTATAAAATGGGCGTTGGGCATTAATGTGGAGATAGTGTCTGTCCTCAATGTTGAGATCATGTTAGTCATCGATGCTGAGATGACGTTGGACAAAGATGAGATGTCAAGACAGCATGAGGGCGTAATGTGGATGTAGAAATTACTAACGTTGGATATCAATATCAAGGCATCATTAGACTTTGATATTGTTGAGATGGTTTTAAAACAATAAAATTGTGACAACATTGGACGTCAATATTGAGATAGCATCACATGTTATTGTAAAACACTAGTTGTAACGGGAGAGAGAAATGAAAATGGGAATGTTTGGGGAATCAGGTATTGAGTATGGATAATTAATTTGGGGTTGTGGAGAGGAAATACAAAATTTAATTTTTATTTTTTAATAAATATAATTTGAAGTACAAGAAATTATATTTAAAAATATTCATAAAATATTTTAGACACATTTCCAAATTATTTTTTAATATTTTTTAATCAGACACTTATTTGGTGTGTTCAATACGTGTTGAAGGTGTGTCGAACACGTATTGTGTCCGATACATGTTAGACACTGCACATCTCTTTGAGGAGAAGTGTCGGTGCATCATAGATCATTAATCTCATTCTAATGATTTATAGTCTATTTTATAAATTATTAATATTTTTATTTATTTCTATTATGCGCCATAGGGGATTAAATTTATTCTTTGTAGAGTTTGAAACAACTTTTGTCCATGTTACTATAGTTCTATCTCTTTTTTCTAATCCTCTGATATTAGTTTGATCAACTTATGTGATGGGTGCATTTTCTACTCTTCATATCTATGTTTGAATCATGTAAGTTTATTTTTAATAACTTTATCTTCTCTATATATCACTTTAACCATGTAAAAAAAAAAGGTAAAAAAAAAAAAAAATCACTATAACCATTCCTCTAGTTTAGTAACTTCGTTAATTTTTTATTTTTGCTATAAACCCAATTCAACTTTCTCATTTCCCTCGTGCTTATAGAAACTATCAACATTTTTACCAACCGATGCAAAGATTCACATAAGATCATCGTTTAAATTGAACTTTTATAAAATTTACCTTTACTCTCGATGATGTCCTCTTGTTGTACAACACTCTTGAGAAATTTCTCTATTTTAGCATCCCGGTTATATCCTAATTTATATCTCTCTTTCTTTTATATAATAAATTCAAGATACTGCATCTAGGTATCATTTTATCTTCTATTAATTTTGGCTGATAATTATTAACATCACATCACTAAAGTTGCATATCATTTACTCAACATTTATTTACTAATCTTAAGCCACTTACATTCCAAACATTTTCTCCATTATTGTAATTTTCTACTTATTTTATTATGTCATACTAAGTAGAATTGCTGTCTGCAAGAAAAAAAGAAAAACACAAGCTTTATGAGCCTTATTAGTTATGGAAAGCTTTATGATTCCTCATTTTCTTTAAATTTTAATTAGTGCAGGTCATATTCGATCCCAAGACCTTTGCAAAAGTTCCAAACTTCACAAACTTAACTAGTAAGTAATCATGAATCCTCAATTTTCGCTTGTTTTATATATATATACATATATGTATATATATATAAAACATATATATATATATATATAAAACAAAACTATGAGAACACTTCAATGCTGTGTTAAAGAACAATTTTAGATACCCGAGAAATACTCTTGCGATGATAAAATTAAATTTGTCATGGAAGCAAGATCTCAAGCCGAAGTCATACTGCAAAAACAAAAGGGAAGAAGCATTAACTTGCTTGAAATCAATATCTAGACATGGCAACAGAAAGATACTTGATTAGGGCTAAATCCATACCCAGATCCAAACGAAGTATGTTAACTGGAAAGTATTCTGCAAAGAATATAACATCTGATTCAAACTAAAGAAAATCTCTGTAGGATATGAAATCATTTATCTTGTTTGAAAAAGCTAAATTGCAAATGTTACAGTAATATAAATGAAATAAGGACGGGTTAGCACCACCATTTGTTTGGAAGCAACACTTTGGAACATAATCACCATCATTATGATAGGAAATACTTGAGTTCGCAAGTAACCCTAAGATAAATCCTTGAGTTCGCGAGCAAACCTATCACTAATTGGTAAAAACAGCGAGAAATAAACAAAATCTGTGGAAAACAGACCCAAAACAATGGATTTCAATATGAGAATCAAAGCAACAAACACCAGAACAAGATACAAGGGATCCTCAATTCGAGAGGAGGATCGTCTATCCCAAATCTCTAGACAAGGAAATCTAGAGCCCAGGACGCCAAAGAACTTCAAAGAAAATTCAAATCATGCATAACCCTAACCCTTTCCCAAAAACAACTAATTAAAGACAAAGGACAATTACAAATTTTCTAATCAGCCCCCTAATTCAAAAATTCCCTCCAAAGCAAATTTAATTAGCAAGTGGGCCTCTAGGAGCTTCCGCCCCTCCCTCTCTCTCTTCCTTGGTTCCGCCCAATTTGGGCCGCCGGCTATACACCAAAACCGGCCCAACCGGTTCAGCTGGCTCAGAGGAGCCGGCCTAACACATTAGCTTTATGTTAGTTGAACCAAAGGAATATATATGATATATCCTCCAATGAATTAATAATTCTCAATGAAAAAGCAATGGGAGGTAGAGTATGTACCAACCATAAACAATGTCAAATGTATTATGGAAAGAACTAAACGAGGCCTCTTGAACCAAAAATGATAATCACTTAGTTGAACCAAAGGAATGCCTTGAACAACTGCATGCCTATCCTTAATTTGAATTGCCATCTTTGCAATTATAGCCTGCAATTTTGTCCCAACTGCCAACAGAATCTGCAGAATCAGTTGAAATGTTAGAAGATTTTGCTGGACTAAACTTACTAGTGAAGTTCTGAAATTTATATATTGATGATCATACAATTGGAGGAAGTAGTGAGACCCAGAACAGTTCCTCCCATCCTGAAGAGCAGTAAATTATTAGAGTTGAATGGATTTATGCTATTTGTGATGCAAGAGAGTTGCATTCTTTAGTATTTACCATGAACATTAAGTAGTAAAAAGATCACCGCAGAAGCCCACAGGAGAGGACTGAAAATGAAACAAAAAAATACGATCAGAAAGAAAAAAAAAAGATTATTTGTGAGATGAGTAATGCTCTTTACCCTCCAAATGAATTACTACTTTGGATTCTTATAATTGGGTCAAAGATAATATATTCAAGTAAAACGTTATAAATTTTAATAAAGTCTTATAGATAAGATTTAACGTTGAGTTCAAAGGCTTATATTTGGTTAGGAAATCTTATATATATGAGGACACTTTATTTTCATGTGGTGACGACAACATCTTCCTTCTTCCTCGTAAAGGGTCCTCTTGAGAGCCTTTCTTATCACCAGCTTCTGCAAGTGTTTTTTGTGTCTTGCCCTCTTTCTCGCCATGGAGCATCCTCCTTCCCTCTGGAGACTTCTTCCCCTTCAATTTTGAGTTCTAAATCTAGCACTGTCTTCATCCAATGGCAGATCTATCTCTTTATCACTCTTCTGGCATTCATCTCTTTTTCATAAACAGGAGGCTCTTGATTTCCTATTTTCCAATTGCATTTTCCTTCTCTCTCTCTCATACTTTGCTTCCACATAGAGGTGTAAATAAGTTGAGTTGAGCTTGAGTCACCTCTGGCTTAAGCTTGATTAATTAATCTAGTGCAAGTTCGAGCTTGAATTTTATTCCATGAGTTTGAGCTACCTTGATTATTATGAAAGAGAGTGATTATAATTCAAATATGAAATAAATGAAATTATGGGATTTTGCTGCAAAAATCAGCAAAATCATCATGCTTGCTAGCAGATTTTGAGGGAAAAAAGAGAAATAATGGATAGAAAACTTGTAGTTTGATAGTAGATGAAAGAAACTAGCAAGATACAGTTGGATACTCAATTGGAGAGGAAGATCCTACTCTCCCAATCTCTAGCCCAAGCAAAACCAAAGGAAACACCAAATTCAGAAAAAAATCATCATAACTCTAACCCAAGAACAAAAAATACTACTTAAGGCAAAAACAAACAAGAATTTCCTAAATAGACCTTGGAATTTAAAATTTTCCTCCAAAATCCTTCTTAATTAATCTAGTGCAAGCTCGAGATCGAATTTTATTCCACGAGTTTGAGCTTCCTTGATTATTGTGAAAGAGAGTGATTATAATTCAAATATGAAATAAATGAAATTATGAGATTTTACTGCAAAAATCAGCAAAATCAGCATGTTTGCTAGCAGATTTTGAGGGAAAAATAGAGAAATAACGGATAGAAAATTTGTAATTTGATAATAGATGAAAGAAACTAGCAAGATACAGTTGGGTATTCAATTGGAGAGGAAGATCCTGCTCTCCCAATCTATATCCCAAGCAAAACCAAAGGAAACACTAATTTCAGAAAAAATCATCATAACCCTAACCCTAGAACAAAAAATACTAATTAAGGCAAACACAAACAACAATTTCCTAAACAGCAATTGGAATTTAAATTTTTCCTCCAAAACCCTTTTTAATTAATCTAGTGCAAGCTCGAGCTCGAATTTTATTCCACGAGTTTGAGCTGCCTTGATTATTATGAAAGAGAGTGATTATAATTCAAATATGAAATAAAAGAAATTATGGGATTTTGCTGATTTCAGCACGCTTGCTAGCAGATTTTGTGGGAAAAACAGAGAAATAACGGATAGAAAACTTGTAATTTTATAGTGGATGAAAGAAACTAGCAAGATACATTTGGATATTCAATTGGAGAGGAAGATCCTGCTCTCCCAATCTCTAGCCCAAGCAAAACCAAAGGAAACACCAAATTCAGAAAAATCATCATAACTCTAACCCTAGAACAAAAAATACTACTTAAGGCAAAAACAAACAACAATTTCCTAAACAACCCTTGGAATTTAAATTTTTCCTCCAAAATCCTTTTTAAATAATCTAGTGCAAGCTCAAGCTCAAATTTTATTCCACGAGTTTGAGCTGCCTTGATTATTACGAAAGAGAGTGATTATAATTCAAATATGAAATAAAATATATTATGGGATTTTGCTACAAATATCAGCAAAATCAGCATGCTTGCTAGTAGATTTTGAGGGGAAAACAGAGAAACAACGGATAGAAAACTTGTAATTTGATAGTAGATGAAAAAAATTAGCAAGATACAGTTGGATATTCAATTGGAGAGGAGGATCATGCTCCCAATATCTAGCCCAAGCAAAACCAAAGGAAACACCAAATTCAGAAAAAGTCATCATAATCCTAACCTTATGACAAAAAAAATACTACTTAATGCAAAAACAAACAACAATTTTCGAAGCAAACCTTGGAATTTAAATTTTTCCTCCAAAATCCTTCCTAATTAATCTAGTGCAAGCTCGAGCTCGAATTTTATTCCACATGTTTGAGCTGCCTTGATTATTATGAAAGAGAGTGATTATAATTCAAATATGAAATAAATGAAATTATGGGGTTTTGCTGCTAAAATCATCAAAATCGGCAAGCTTGCTAGCAGATTTTGAGGGTAAAATAGGGAAATAACATATAGAAAATTTGTAATTTGATAGTAGATGAAAGAAATTAGCAAGATACAGTTAGATATTCAATTGGAGAGGAAGATCCTGCTCTTCCAATCTCCACCCCAAGCAAAACCAAAGGAAACACCAAATTCAGAAAAAAATCATCATAACCCTAACCGTATAACAAAAAAAATACTACTTAAGGCAAAAACAAACTACAATTTCCTAAACAGCCCTTAGAATTTAAATCTTTCCTCCAAAATCCTTCTTAATTATAGCCATAATATCCCCATTAAGAGGACTGCACCCCCCCTCCCTCCCAAAGACTTACCTTGTCCTCAAGGTGAAATGATGGGAATTGGGTCTTTAATCTCTCATATGGCTCCTAAGTGGTGTCATAATCTGGGAGGTTCTTCCATTTAATCATCACTTCCTTAACCCTTCCCTAACCTTGTCTCACCCCCTTAAGCTCTAAGGGCTCCAACACCACCTCCAAATTCACAATCAGTGTCGCCGGTAATACGGAACTAGCTGCATGCTCCCCTATAGCCCTCATCAATTGGGAGACATGAAACACTAGATGTATGCTAGCGGTTGGGGGTCATCAGGTGATAAGCCTCCGCTCCAATCTTTTCCACTATCTCATACAGTTAAAAATACCTGGGAGCTAGTTTCTCGTTTCTCCTATTAGCCATTGTCCTATATCTGTAATGTCGTAGTTCTAAAAGCACCTTGCTCCCCACTTTAAATTGAATGTCTTTTTGGTGTCCATCAGCTTGTTTCTTTATAATATGTTGTGCCCTCATCATATGTTTCTTCAATTCCTCTAACACCCTATCCTTTTCCTCCAAATATTGCTTTATTGAGGAGACTGGTGCGCTCCTCTGCCCAAAATGTACTAAGTGTGGAGCGTCTCTTCTATACACCACTTCAAAAGCGGTCATTTGAGAAGCTGAGTGATACGATGTATTGTACCAATATTCATTCTATGCCAACCGCTTGGCCCACATCCGTGATGTTTATGACACAAAACACCTAAGTCTCCAAGCTTTTATTGGCTACCTCTGTATGCCTGTCCGTCTGAGGGTAGTAGGCCGTGCTTCTCTTGTGAATTGTACCCTGCAACCTGAATAGCTCCCTCCAAAACTAACTGAGAAACACCTTATCTCAGTCAGAGACTGTCGACTATGGAATCCCATGCAGTATAACTGCCTCTTATGAATGCTGCAACTACTATAACTACGGTGTGAGGGTATCGTAAGGGAATGAAATGGGCATATTTACTCAGCCTGTCAACCACCACCATAACCACTGTGAATCCCTCAGATCATGGTAGACCATCTATGAAATTCATGGACACCTCCTCCCATTCCCTTTTTGGAATTGCTAAGGATTGCAGTAATCCCGTTGGAGCCACAATTATATACTTATTTCTCTGGCACACCTCACACCTTGCCACCATCTCCTCCACATCCTTATGCATACCTTTCTAGTATAATTCAACTGCTAATCTTTTGTATGTCTTCTATACCCCCGAATGGCCTCCAACCGCGCTCCCATGGAACTTCTGCAATAGTTGGGGAATATGAATAGAGGTTCATGACATCACAAATGTACCATGACATAGTAGCCTCTCTCCCTTGAGGGAGTAGCATGGGTTGCTACTTCTATCCTTTAGTAAATCCCTCATAATCTTCCTTAGTCTCTCGTCCTGCACACTTTCTTCCTTAATAGCCCCCCAATCTACCATCAAGGGTATTGAAATGGCCATCTCCTGAAGCTTTCCCCCACACTTGGATAAGGCATCAGCCGCCTTATTCTCCAATCCTAGTCTATACTGGATCTCAAAATCATATCCTAATAATTTGGACAGCCACCTCTGTTGTTTCTCAGTCACCATTCTCTGCTCCAACAAATATTTCAAGCTCATATGGTTTGTCCTGACGATGAAGTGCCGACCCAGTAGGTATGGACGCCACTTATGAATGGATAACACGATGGCCATCAATTCCCTTTCATATACTGACTTCAGCCTAGCTCTAACTGTCAACACTTGACTAAAGTAGGCTATGAGTTTATGATTATGCATGAGCACTGCTCCCAACCCATGCCTTGATGCATCTGTCTTCACCACAAAGCTCTGATTGAAATCTGGTAGAGCCAAAATTGGTACTGTGGACATGACCTTTTCTAGTCTCTCAAAAGCCTAGGTAGCCGCCTCTCCCTACAAGAAGCCATCATTCTTTAGCTGCTTTTTCAAAGGCCAGACTATGTTGATGTACCCCTTCACGAACCTTCGGTAATAAGAAAACTAATACAAACTTCCGGAGGTACGACCTGAACACCCTTTTCATAAGGGACTAAAAAGTAGCAGGAGCGTTAGTAAGCCCAAACGACATCACCAAGAACTCGTAGTGCCCTTCGTGTGTCCTGAAGGTCGTCTTTTGAATATTCTCCTCTCTCATCTTGATTTGATGGTAACCCGACTTCAAGTCCATCTTGAAAAACACCACCGTTCCATACAGCTCATCTAGTAGCTCATCGATCATTAGAATGTGAAACTTATCCAGCACAATCTCCTTATTCAAGGCCCTATAATATACACAAAACCTCCATCTCCCATCCTTCTTACTGACTAGTAAGACTGGACTAGAAAAATATCTCACACTTGGTCTGATGATCCCCGCCTCTAACATCTCTTGAATTAGCTTCTCAATCTCATTATTCTGAATCAAGGAGTAGCGGTATGGTTTTACACTAATCGGTGATACCCATTCCTTCAAATTGATTGCATGCTCCTGCTCTCGGGGTTTTGGTAAGCCTTGAGGCGGATGAAAGACCTGATCGAACTGTTGTATGAGTGCCTGAACTGAAAAAGGAATGTCTCCCCCTTCCCATAGTTTGACCTCTTCCAAGCGTTATAGTTCCACCAAAAATCCTCCTCCCACCTCGTGTATGGTCATGATCATGGATTTGAGAGATACCCCGGCCCTCGACAACCTTGCATCTCCCTCAATCACCATCCTCCTTCCCTCCACGGCTCCACCACCAATTCCATCCTCAGTACTCCCTAATTGACCTTGTGATGAGGACATCGATCCAAAGTCCAAACATGTGCATCACCGATCGATGGCCATGATTCAGAGCTTATTTTTCTAATTGTTTGTGCATTTTATTTTTTATGTTTTCCTATTGTACCCTTATGTTGAGTTGAGTTATGTTGGGGCCCTGAGGGCAATTTAGTCTTTATTTATTCATGTATGCTTGAGACCTATATATATGGGTCTTTCCTCTTGTAATAGCTAATGAATATTTTGAATGAAAATTTGGCTTTGGTGTTCTCTTTGTGAGTTCCGTCTTGAAGATCTCTTTGTGAGTTCTTTTCTCCTAGATCTCTGTTAATCTCCTTCTATGGCTTTGTTTCGGATAATTTTCTTATTTTTTTACAGGTTTTTTAGGACAAAAAATTGTAGTTCAAAAAAATTGTATATTAAAAAGCTGTTTTAGAAAATAGTAAAAAAAACCATCTCAAATGGGACGGCTTTTTTACTGATGCTTAAAGAAGTTTTATGGTATAAAAATTAAATTTTTTGTACTAAAAGTTTCTTTAAGAAGCATTAAGAAAGCCGTCCTAAACGAAACCTAAATCTCCTATTATGTTATGTCATAATAGCTTATTCTTTGGCTGCTCCATCTCTATGACACTTTTAAGAAAAACATTCCTCGTGGCTCTTTACTCATTACAGTCTCTTTCAATCAAGCTATGCAGTATGCTAACAATATTAGTAATATTATTTATTAGGAGATTATTCCTTAGGTGCTCAGACTAAATGCTCATTACATTTGAATTGAAATAAATAATATTGTTTTCAGAGAAGGTGGCTCGACTTTTCTTGTAATGTGGCTGATAAAATATAGTTTTTCATTTATAAAATTATCTCCACATTACGTAATGTGGCTCAACATTATCTACTTTGCTATGACTTTTATGCATAAAATGTAGAGATAATGTAAGGTGGCTTGACATAGGATGTAATGAGTCGAGTCGAGCTCTTTCTTAATCGAGTCAAGCTCATTTTATTTATATTGACCTCGAACTCGATCTTGAGATCTCGATCTTGAGATCGGTTCGAGTGAAAAATATGAGGTTCAAGCTTGATAATATAGCTTGAGAATGACTCATACTAGAGCTCAATTTCTTATTTTTTAATATGGGCAAAAAATAATTAATCCTGCTAATATAAATACTAATGTGTTAATTAATATTTTAATTGAGCTGGGCCAAGCTTGAACTCGAGTTCATATAATATATGAGTTCAAATTTAAGCTCAAACTCGAACTCCTAGCTTGATAAGCTCGACTTACGAGCTCTTTAGTGTGTCAAATTCAAACTAACTCATCAGCCGGCTTGACTCGCTCGTACCCTTAGTTTGACATGGAACTTTATATATGAACAAAACATCTAGAATTTATCATACAGAAGTCATTGATTTAAATATAAGTTTTTGTCTTGCTCGCAAGTCTTCGTACTCTAATATCAATATTTTTAATATAAATATAAGGTTTAGATTATCAAACTTTATGAGAAATGATTAGGGGATTTACATATAAAATATCACAAAATTGGCATAATTATGCATTTATATATCTAACATGTAATTACAAATTAATTAAGAGATAAACAGTAAACAAATTAACAATAAAAAATAACATATATGGTGTTGTTTTTGCTATTATAATGGAAGAACAATTAAGCCAAAAATCAGGATTAACTATTCTGCGCGGATGCCAAATGTCGTCCGGAGATCAACTAGAATGTGCCACATCATCATTCGCTTGGTACCGCAGCTCGGTACTACTGACATAGCGCATTCTAATTGGTCTTCTGATGACGTTTTGCGTCTGATTTACGCACATAATAATTTCTCAAAAACCAGAAGGTATAAACTGTGAAATAAGAGGATCAATTGCTGTACCTGATTCCAACGACTACTTTGAAATCATCTTCCAGTGACCTTTTTATGTATTTTTGAAAGTTAAAGTTGCTTCCAGGAGCCAAATGAACCTGGAAGAAAGCAGCAGAAATGCAGCAATGCAATAGAATGAAAGAGACAAAGCAGGAGTTGAATTTTATTAGAGAACTTACATTGATAAAACCATGACGTAGGGTCAAGTAATCTGCCTTCGTAACAGATCTAAAAAATTGGTGGAAGAAGCAGACCTGTGAGATCAGCATTTTTAAAATATCATCAGTTTGTTTATAAAAAAATATAGTTGCAGAGTTGGTAATGTCAACTATCTAAATTGGCTTATTATATAAGATTAGAGGTCAAAACTTTATCTCAATGGAAGTAATCTCACACAGCATTGACACAGAGATTTTTTATTTATTTTTAAATAAAAATGAAGTATTCTGAATTAATTGAGTATATTTTTCTTAAAAACATTGCTTTAGAGTATCATGATGTGATTTTGTTAATAAATTTTGGATTTATATTGAGATTAGTACAACTCTTTGCTCATAATACTAAAGCAAATCATGTTAAAACATCTCCTTTGCCCGCACCCCCCCTCCCCCCCCACCCTTGTTGATCACCGCAGACTAGGGGTGCAAATGAGTCAAGCCGACTCGCGAGCTGGCTTGGACTTGACTCGTTAATAGGCTCGACGAGTCGAGGTTATCGAGCTCTCTAGCCAAGCTCGAACACGATTTCGAGCTCGACGGTTTATTGAGCCCTAGCTCGAACAGGCCTCTGCTCGACTCGTCAACTTGTCGAGCAGCTCGACGACGGAGCTCGTGGGCAAAAATCCAAAATGACGGAACTCGCGAGCTAAAAATCCAAAACGATGGAGCTTGCGAGTGGGAAATCCAAATTCCTAAATGATGAAGCACTTGACGGTAAACGAGCTCGGGATGATGACGATAGATGCAACTATGAGCTCGGGGCGATGGATCTCGATGGTAGATGTGATGACGAGCTCGGGACGATGGATCTTGATGGCGGAGCTCAAGACTAAGATGGACCTCCGGACGACAGATGCGACGACGAGGGACGGAGCTCAACAGCGGAGCTTGAAGAGCCGCTCGACATGAAGATGAGCTTGAGCTCGGTATTTGATAGTCGAGCTTGACTCAAAGACCTCCTGACTCGAGCTCAAATTGACTCGTTTGCACTCTTACTGTAGGCCGTCATAAGCAACACAGCCGCTAGCCACTGCCCCCTATGTTGCGATTGGTCAACCACTATCGCCCACTACCAACGTTGCCGCCACTCAGGTTTACTTAGATATACTTTTACTTCAACTTTGATACAAAAAACATAAATTCATGCATTTGTGTACTCAACTAAACAACTCAAGTAATTTCAACACACTATATTTATTTTTCATAATATTCTTTTTATTATGCATTCTTTTTTAGTAGAACAAATACCTTTAATGAATATATCATGTCATATATATATATCTTAGTCCCATAAATCATATAATATAATGATCAGAATAAGATATTATTTGAATTTTTAATAAGCTGGTAACTTAGTTATTCTATTCAAGCTTAGCATTTTTCTTATAGTTAATATCAAAATCTTAATATAATTGTCATAATTATTTTTATTGCTGTGATCTGCTGAAAGTTAAGAGATCTGCTTACAAAATACAGCAGGATAGGATGCTTTTCCCAGAAGCTTGTATGTTGTTTCACAAAAGATGTGTCATGGACCAATCTGAATCTAGAAGGATCTATAACATAAAAAAAAATCTCAAACATTCCATTATAAAATACAAAATAAATGCTTTGAAATTCGTGAAAATATCTCTTATCTTAAAATATTTTATAAAAAATAAAAGAAAATTACCATTAGAGAACTCATAGTCAATGGAGCGAGTCTCTTTCTCCCACTCCTTCCATCTCCTCATCTGCTCAGAAGAACAATTACAAGAGAAGCTTAACTATTTATTATTACAAATTTGACAGTCCAAATGACATATTTGCAAATAAATAATTTAATTACATGTGAAAAAATTTCACCTTCAACCTTCCCAAAGCCATTGTTAGAGCGCTATATATGACATGAAAGATTGCCAGGAAAAATATGAATATGTGCAATTGATGCATTCCATTTATGGAAACAAATGGGATTTTCCCCTGCAAATCCAAATGCATACATTATAGTCAAAAGTGGTAAAATATCCAAACAACATAAATTTTTACAAAAATACATAATCGGTAAAAACTTGCGTGCAATTAAAGTATGGGGGATTTACATACATATCATTTTATTTTATATTATTTACATATCGAACACTTAAAACTTTAATATTACATGTCTACTATCTATAAAATGAATATGGGGGCATAGAATGAAATATTAAAGTTTATAGGATGATATGGATGGTAAGAATGAAATATATGAGTGATATATTTGATATTAAAAGTTTATATGAGTGGTAGAAATGTAATATTAATGTTTTAAGTGTTAGATATGTAAATAGCATGAAATAAAGTGGTATGTATGTAAATCTCCCTAACTTGTACGATTCATAAAAATTATGCATGATAAAGTTCGAAGTCATTATATTTGCACTGAGATTAGTGTCACATATGATATCCAATGATTGCACTAATCTTGACCAAATCCAAGGATTTTGGAAGAAGCACTCACATTGGGGCATGAATTAACAGAGGCTTCAGCAAGTGACCTATGAGTAGAAAGTGGCTCTCCAGTTGAGCTCCATAGAAGCCTTCTCCTATGTTCCTTATCATCCTCATTAGTTTCAACAAGCCGGCATGGAAGCATGGTATCTGCCACACTTTCAGGTATGCAGATTTTGGCTATGTAGTTTTGGCCAAAAGTCAGCAGCAGTGAAATAAAGCCAAGAACCATCAACTCTGAAAACAAAGCATCACAATAGTATTTTTAATTACAATCTAATTATGATTTGAATCAATTGTTCATTAGGGTTTTTATGTATTGTACTTTGGGATACAATTGTACAAAATGATTCGAATCGAGGTTGAGTCATCTCTAATTTGAGCTGATCTAATTTAGTTAATCGAGTTTGAGCTCGAGTTTAATTCTATGAGTTCAAGCAGATATACGAGCATGCTCGTTTAGAACAAAAGCTGTCTCGTGAGCTAATGAGCTGAGTTGAAGCTGCTTATCGAGCTCTTTGGGTGTAAAAGGAAAGTTGAAAAAACTTTCTCCTTCTACAGATATAGGTATATACGTCAATATTTAACCCGATTTGAAAACCCGACTTGGATCGGACCCGAAAATTTTAGATTCGGGTTAGGAATTTTCGACCCGTTTGTAAAACCAGGTCGGGTTCGAGTTGACCCGGAAACTCGAATTCAATATGTTTTGACCATATTTTAATTAATTAGGAGGGTTTTAAAAGATTTTTTTGAAGCGGGTCAGATTCGGGTCCGAAAAACTGAACTGTTTGCAAAAATAGATAGGGTCAAATAGTACAGGGTCAGCTCCGGGTTGGACCTGAACCCGACCCATGACCCGATTTTAACAACTCTAGATATAGGCAATGGGATCAGCGTCAAATTTGTCAAACATTGTTGAACTATTCAATAAACTTGTTAAGCATAATTACTTGTTCATTAAAAAAAAAAGATAAAATTTTTCAAGCCAAGAGAATAGTTCAAATTTCCCAATACAATATGTAAAAAGAAGAGCAGGAGAAGGACGAAAAGTAAAATTTAAAGCGTCAGCATTACGCATAATCAACATCATTTAGAAATAAAAGTAACTATCTCATAGCATAGCAAAAAACTATATCCTGCAAGAAAATAGAAAGTTCAAAAGTTCTTACCTGATTTCACTTTCTCAAGAGCCTCATTCAGAGCCTTCTTGTGCTTATCTGTAAACCACTGTAATTGAAATCTATATCAAGCAGGCAGGCATTTCTGAAAGCTTGCAAGTTTCAAACCAGAAAAATATCATAAATTGAAAAAAAATAAAAAATTATGATCCATATTTGCAGAATATTTGGAATACAAACATCTTCTGCAATTATAATCCAGTAAAGTATAAGATAATTGATATGATCATAGAAATTATGAAAAATCTTCTTTTGTGAGAAGGATTGAAGCGAACCTGACCGAGAAGATGTAAAATCTTCTCGAGGAAGATGGAGATGACGATGATGACTGCGCAGACGGAAGCCACTGCCCATGTGGGCGTCTGATCGAGATCTCTCGCTCCTTCTCCTCCTCCTCCAGCCATTAATCAAGCTCCTATCTTCAGTTCATGAACAGAGAAGCAGAGGGGAGAGGCAGAGAGAGAAGACGAAGAACGCGTTGTTTGAATCTATAGTAACGGTACGAAGGAAGACTCAGGGGTGAGGGGTTCGTTTGGGATAACGTCTCGGCTGCTTTACGTTTTAAGACGCGAGGCTCCGGCTGTTTTGGGCGGTTCTGATATGGTAAAAAATTATAAATATCATTCATCTTTTGATGATATTCCTCTGAAATTATTTGTTTACCCCTTTCAGATCGTTTTTGGAAGGGGGCAAGTGAAAAAGTTGGTTCGAACTGGATTTATTAACGAGCTCATGAGTTGAGCTTATAGAGCTCTGAGTTCTAGCTTGAGCTTATAGTCGAGCTTGAGCTCAGCCCGGCTCGACTTGAAAACTTGTTGAGCAACTTGATTAAAAAAAAAACTATTATGATATTAGTCCAAATGTATTAACTATTCGATTCGAAAGCAGCCAAACCCTAATTTCGTGTGAGGTTTGGTGACGGATGGGACAATTGAGGCCGAAATCCATCTTCCTCTCACATACCCTAGCGAGGGAGAAATTATTCTGTGCGGAGTCCGGACGGGAAAAATTGTTCGGACTATGAGTGTACACACTGTTTTACGAGCAATTATTAGGTCCTTTCACTGGATGTAGAGGAAGGTTCGGTTTTAGGCAAAAATAGGTCAAAAAGTGCAAATACCGAGTTTTTTGAAAAAACTCGATATTTTTTCAAAAAACTCGGTATTTGCACTTTTTGAGGCAAAACCGAATCTTCCTCTAGGTCCTTGCACTGGACCAAATAAAAGTTCCTGTTTTACACACTGTATATAAATAATGTGTACACTAATTTGGTGTACACAGTGTGCATATTTACATGTCCGGATGGTTCTTCCCGTTCGGACTTCGCACAAAATAATTTTTCCTAGCGAGGGCAAGATGTGGTTAGCAGTCCGTGTTTAATCTTCTTCTTCTTCTTCAGTGCTCAACACATATAGTAGTTCGTATTTGATGAACTGAGCAGTCCTTTTTATTTTATTTTCTATACTTTTTCATTTCTTTCTTTTACCATTGTGAATCACAACTTGTGATTGTTGCTATTTTCTTTTGGATGAAATCATTTGATGTTTTTGTTAACAGGCTGTTTGCGGCCTCTGAAGATTGTGAGCCGAGGGGCTAGTCGGTTCGTCTCCTTCAATCTATTTCTTTCTACATTTTTTTGAGTTATTTTTTCCGCAATATGCTACATATCTAAATCTTTTATCGAAAAATGCACACAATCTTTTCTACTCTAAGATTTCAAAAATCTCAAAGTTGGTTGAGCATAATCATTTTCTTAAGAAAAGTAGAATGTTTTCATTGTAAGAGGAAGCTAGTTTTGGGCAATAATGGTTCAACCGCACAATTTAAAAGGCATTTGGAATGTTGCCTACCTAGGATTCATGCTTTGAAGAAGCAGAAGTTTTACATTTCCACCCAACCGATAATGAAAACTCATGTACACAAAGAAGTCAACATGGAGACATCTTAACAATGTTCAAAGGAATGAAAATAATTTCTCATTATGTATTAATAAATGAAATGCCATTTCCTATTCTTAAAGAATTTGGTTTCAATTTAGTTTTAAAATCTAACCACCTTATTTTATAAGGTACTCTACACAAACTAATGTCATTTTGGTATATTAAAAGGAGAAGAGAAAGCTAAAAAATATGTTGCAGAGCATTAGTAACATATGTTTTACAAGTTGTTGCATCCTGAAATATTCACGAAGGTAGAGAAATATAAAGTTTAACGTCTTAACTTTGAACGAAGATCTAGTACACAATCAGATGAGAGAGAGATGGTCCAATATTTATAAGAGACACCAAGATTTTCACATGAAAATTTATAAAAAGGGAAAAACCACAGGGCTTACATAGCCAAGATTTCCAAGTGGAAAACCCTGAAAACGAGAAAAACCATGTGGAAAATGCTGAACTGGATTTAATTAGACTTGGATTTTCTCTTTGACTAGTAATACATGGTTAAGAAGTGAACATCTTATAACCATTAGGTCATCAGAAAAAAATCCGAGTCATGGTGACCTCATATAAAATTGAGGCCAACACATATGTGGAAGAGGATGAGAGAATCTACCAAAGATGTATGACCTATCCAAGGTTATATGCCAGAGCATTTCTCGATAATGTTAACCTATATGGAAGAGGTCGAGATAATCCAAGAAGGATGCATGATCTATCTGATGTTATATATGGTAGAACACTGCTCGATGACGTTAACCTATATAGAAGAGGTTGAGAGAATCCACCAAAGTTGTATGACCTATCTAATGTTGTATGTCAGAGTGTTGTTTGATGACGTTAACATCTATGAAAGATGTCCAGATAATTCATCAAGGATATATGACCTAATAGAGGTTTTTTGTTAGGGCACTGCTCGATGACATTAACCTATATGAAAGAATTTAGGAGAATCCATCAAAGATGTATAACCTATATGATATTCTATGTCAGAGTGCTGCTTGATGATATTAACCTGTGTAGAAGAGGTCGAATTGAATCCCCTTGGGTAGGGCTGTCAAAATTGGGTCACAGGTCAGATTTGGGTTCAACCCAAAACCGACTCGGCTCTGTTCGGGTCAACCTGAACTCGACACATTTTTATAAACGGGTTAGTTTGTTGGACCTGAACCCTACCCACTTCAAGTTAGGGTCAACCTGAACCTGACCCGCTTAGTTTGCTCTTCGACGATGTTCCCTTCCAGTCAGAATAGAAAGTTACAACATTTTGATTGGAAGCAACGTCGAGAGTTTTCTTGTTATGAATGAAACTTTCTCCCTTTCATGTGCTATTCAATTTCGCTCCTTGGATGACATTCCCTTCCATTCGGATATGAAGTTACAACATTTTAATCGGAAGCAACGAAGGTCACTCACTCTGAAGGAAACTTTCTCCTTTCATGAGCTGTTCGACTTCGCTCCTTGAACGACATTCCCGTCCATTTGGATCAAAAGTTACAACATTTTGATCGAAAGCGTCGAAATAATGACGGTCGCTCATTGTGAAGAAAACTTTCTCCCTTTCGTGCGTAGTTCGACTTTGCTCCTTCGATGTTCCCTTCCATTAGGATTGGAACATTTTGATTGGAAGCAGCGAGGGGAGTTCGCTCGCTGTGAGCCAAACTTTCTCCCTTAGTTACGCTTCTTCATTATGTTTCGGAAGCCTAGTCGGATGCTGGGACAAAACTAGGGTCAAAATCGGGTTTTCAAGTTAACCCGAACTTGATCCAGAATTCCAAATGGGTCAAAAATTAGGACCCGAACCAGACCCATTTCGGTTTCAAGTTGACCTTAACTCAAAATTTTTGTGTCGGGATTGAGTCGGGTTTTCGGGTCGTGTCCAATATTGATAACCTTCTGCCTTGGATTGATTATGCCTTGATTGGGATGGAGTGAATACGGCATGTTTCCCAAATCAAATGTGAGGAATGGTTATCTTTAGATCTTTTGTTGCCCTTTTGAGGTTGAGATTAAGATATTGCCCAATGAGTAGAAGTCCAATTAGGGACTGCATAAAGCTTGAAGTTTATTTGAAGAATCATTGCATTTGCTAGAAGCTTTTATGATCCCAAGATGTTGTCTTAAATATTGGAAGAGTTCAAGAAATTTTCTTTTTTCTTGATCACGGTTGTAGTCAAGTCCCCCCCCCTTCCCAATCCACATTTAATTCCCATGAAATTGATGCAACAATAGTTGACGACAAGACGTTGACGCGAATGACCTTTTGAGGTTGGAGGAAAAAATTGCCACTTAGTCGATAACCACGTTCCCACAAATGGCGCCAACTTGTTGCATCCTGAAATATTTGCGACGGTAGAGAAATATAAAGTTTAGCTTTGTACAAAGATCAAACACACAATCAGATGAGTTAGAGAGAGTGCAATATTAATAAGAGACACCAAGATTTTTATGTGAAGATCTTGAAAAGGGGAAACACCACGGAGCCTAGCCCAGTTTACATGAATCCACTATCATTTGTAGTTGATTACAAATAAGGCCCTTAATTAGAGGAAAGGCACTGCTTGATGTAATAAATATATATCATATAGAATACATTACATGGTATAAATTAGAAGAATCAATATTGATATGTACATTTGGTCGGTAAGATCATAGTCGACGGGCGAAGGAGTTCAAAAAGACTGTTGTTTGGTAATGGAGGTTAGAACGCTTGTAATCGAGGAAGGAGGTTAGAATGACCATTGTCGGTGGGCGATGGAGGCGAAAGGGCCATTATTGGCGAGCGATGGAGATTGGAAAGACCGTTGTTTAGCGACCGAGGTTGGAAGGACCATAATCGCGAAGAAGGTTGGAAGGATCATAGTTGGAGGGCGATGGAGGTTGAAAGGACCGCAATCAACTAACGACGGAGGTCGAAAGTCAAAAGATGAGTAGAAGTCCATCTTTGGGTAGAAGTTTAATGATGGACAAAAGTTCGGTGTTTGATAGAAGTCCAATGGAAGTTCGATAATGGGCAGAAGTCCGATGACAGGCGTAAGTATGTCATAGGATAGAAACTCAATGGCAGGCGAAAGTCCAGTGTCGGGTAAAAGTTTGAATGAAGTCCGATGATAGTGAAAGTCAGGCATTGGGTAGAAATTCAATGACTGGCGAATGTCCGACATTGGGTAGAAGTCCGGCGACTATTAAAAGTCTGATGACGGGTAGAAGTTCGACGATGAACACGATGACAGGCGGAAGTTCGGCATCTCGTAGAAGTCCGACGACATTCGGAACTCCGGCGTCAGGTGGATGTCTGGCAATGGACTTAACTTTGGCACCGGGTAGAAGTCCGGCGAAAGTCCTACGACGAGCAAAAATTCGATGTCACGTAGAAATCCAGTAACGGGTGGAAGTGCGGTGTCAGGTTGAAATTCGATGATGGACGATAGTTTGGCGTTTGAATGAAGTTCAACGATAGAGGAAAGTACATTGTTAGATAGAATTCCGATGGAAGTTTGGTGATGTGTAGATGTTCAGTGATGGGTCTTATTCCAGTGTAGGATAAAAATTCATTGACAGGCAGAAGTCCAACGTCGCGTAAAAGTTCGATGAAAGTCTGACAACGGGTAGAAATCCGGAGGCAACAAAAAGTC